GATTAATGTTGATTGAAGAAATTGAATGCTGGACCCATATGGCATACCAAAAAGATGCTGAAAATCCTGTATACATATATGAAATAAAAACAAATATTGCAATTATAACTTATACAAACATTTTAATCCCTCATTTATTTTCTAAAGTAGGTACTTTTATTTTACTGATACAAAGAATATTTCCATTAAATAAAAAAAATAATATAAGATCTAGGGATTATTATACGAATTTCCAATAATTTTATTTAATAATTGCAAAAACTAAAAAAAATTACAAAAACAACGGCAGGCGGTTTTTTGATAAAATTGATTTTTTTTTATCGTTAATCAAAAAAATAATAATAATAGTAAAAACTAGTGAAGTATATAAGTTTAAGGAAACATTATAGAATATGAAAATAATTATTTTAAAAATATTGTTAATAAAAAGATTAATTGATTGATAATTACTTTAAGTTCCTTAATCAATTTGGATGACAAGTTTTAGGGCGTAGTTAAAAGTGATATTTTTGTTTCCTATAAGAGCTGTGACTAAGAGCAACATTACAAACCGTATTTTAGAGTTGGAGGTGGAATAATAATGGAGCCTATTAATTAGATGTTTCCTTCGATTTTCTATAATTTTTTTGTATACAGTACAAAAATATGATAACCAATATAGAGATTTTATGCAGACCAAAGAGTAATGATTATTTTTGAATTTGACACAGCGGGGAGGTTGGTGACTATATAAATTTGAGTAAAGGAAACCTAGGAGTTGTAGCATTATGGAAGCGTGAGTTTTTTCTTTATTTTGAAGAAGTAAATATAGGTTGAGAATTTTATTATCAATATCAAACTTTTAAATGAATCCGAAATAAGGAGTATAAGGTAATAAGTATTTTACAATGAATAATATTCGTGGCCCGAATAACTTTGTGACCCATATATATGAACTTAAGTTAAGCAGACTTGAATATCATCTAGTTAGTGTTTGTGAAAATACTTGATAAATAAAAAGTACGGGTTCAATGAATTAGGCAAAAATGTGTGGAATTCGATCTGTTCTTTATCACTTGGGTGCTATTAATTATATTAAAATTAATTGCGCCGTCGGTGCAAATAATCAAATGTTTTGGAATATTTCTTAAACATATGCTCAATGAGTGGACAAGGTTAAATAATGATTTTTTAAACATAAACAATTGATACAATTTATTACTCTCACAACTCTCTTCCTCAGGTTACACCTCTCCTGATGTAATTCTTCTTCTCAATTCTCGATCTCTCTCCGTTATCGCTCTTATCATCAATTTTATCTCCTAGCCTATTCAACGCTGGTTCCCGCATTTAAAATACTTTACTTATTTTTTCTTCGTATCTAAATTCTAATAATTGTCTTGCTAAAATATTGTAAAGATAAAAGCAATAAAATGAAAAAAAAAAATTCGTAGCTTCCACTTACATAAAAGGGAGATTTGATTAAAATTTATTACTTGAAGAGGTTTTCATGCCGAAATTAATGATTATGATGATGATGATAAATTATGTCAAACGAATCCCACAACATAATCGTATTTATAATTCTTTAATAAAAATCATTAATGGTATAAGTGATAGCAAAGAGCGAAATGAACGTTAGTTCATATTGAACGATCACAACGAATTTAATTTTTATTTTAATGATATTTGTGTTATTTATAAGCAATTGAAATTTTTGATTTTTCCCAAATTTTAATCGGTTGTAATTTGATAATACAGGACATAATAGCATTTAAATGAAATTTAATTAACTTCTTTTTCTTTTTTTGCAACAATTAGAATATAAATAATGTAACTACCTTATTAAGAAATTTGATTCTAATATTACTCGTATAACAACCATCTTTAGAAATATAAACTGATTCATTCGACCTTTTACTTCTAGGAATTTTTTGTTATATGTAAAATTACAAACATTTTACTACAAAAACGCATTTGTACTATAATTTAATTATGAAATAATATAAGTTACACTACAATAGGTACTTTTATTTTTTTTTTTATATCAAATGGACAAAATTATAAAGTTAATGCTATAATAAGATCAAATAATAAAAGTCTATTAATATTAATAAAATTGTGGAAACAATAATTTATTTACTAACCTATTTGAATTGTTTTGAATAAAAAAAAATCCAATACAGTCCATATATTACTACTGGAAATAAATCCTAGCCACAATCCTGTTAACATTACAATAATGTTAATCAACAATGATCTGATTGCCGATATAAGTAACCATAATGAAAAAAATCTTTTTGATTCCTGAAAAATAAAATATTGCGTTCACATGGTACTTATCTGCCTACCTATATCCAGAATATAAACTAAAATTGTTTTTAAATAAATCAAAATGTTATCAAACTAATCACTATAAATTATTTTACTCTACTACTCTATTATTTTTAGCATAGTGGAAAACAAAATTCATATTTACAAATTAGTGTTGGGAAAGTTTTGATAGGAATGCGTTCCCAATCCTTCAATAAAAAGAGCGCATTTCTGTTTCTTTTAAATTTTCCAGAAAATTAGCAAATGGGAGAGTTAGCAAAAGTTCGGTTGAGACACTCTCCATTAACCATTTACAGACAAGACCTTGCGCCGTCGGGCTATCATTTGGTCACCAACTTAAATAAATATATGGGTAGGAAAACACTGAATTCAGACAAAGAAGTGAAAACTGCAGTGAAATACTACATGAAAAAAGAGGTATATGGAGAGTTATTTGACGTTGGTATACAAAGCTTCCAGATCGATTACAAAAGTGCCTCGCTATAAACGGCGAATATTTCGAGTAATAGTAAATAAATACTCAATATAATCATGTAAAACATTTTTAATAGAGCTTTTTTTCAATTTTTTTATACTTATGGAGATTTTACTTTTGGGACAAACTTCGTAAAATAATTCTAATTCTCGTGAATGATTATTTAAAAAAAATTTTAATTTTAAGAAGGAAAAATCACATTATTAACATTTGACATAATATATTTTAATATAATTTAAAATATTATGAATAGAATGGATTCAGTTCTTAAGGATTTATGTTTGTGATTGTATAGATCGTAAGTAAAGATTAATAATATATCATATAATTAATCATGTACAAATAATAGTCATTTGTGTATGCATCATAAAACTTACTAAAACTATTTCACATAACAACAACAAATAAACTATGATATACGGATACCATGTATATTTTCTTGTCAAAATTACAAAAATCGTTACTGAAAAAAAATTGATTATGTATTAGAAATTAAGTATTAGATTTATTTATATTTCATTATTTTTAGTTTATAACTTAAATATTATTATTAAATCCATGTGAATTTATAAATTAGTTATTTGTGATAGGCTAATATAGTACAGTATAGTATTTATGTGCCATGAAAAATAGTAAAATATAATATTAAATTTTCAAAAAGAAATGACGTAGAATTTGTAATGTGTGTAACGTAGAATGGATCTAACCTATACTGACAAAATTTTTAAAACTTCTTAATTTCCAGTATTACCTGAGTACTTATATAAAAAAGGCAATTTGTTACGGAGTAAAATGTTATTTTTTCGATTTAACGAACAATAAAGGTAATTTTAAAAAATTCTAATTAACCAATATATTCATGTTGATCAACATATGCAAAACAAAAAAGTATATTTAGTTACGAATCGTGGTCTATCAACTGATAACTAATCCATTGGGACTAAAAGAAAAAAACATACAAATCCATAAAAATCTTAGCTCTGTTTATAACCATTAATTGTGTCTATAAAATTATCGAACGACTGACCTAAACAAGGTTCATGCATGCGATACGTACTTGTTTTGTATATATACCGAACTGGTTGATGTTGAATAAATTCTAAATTCAAATTACATGCATTCAAGTAAAGTTCTTGAAATGTACTGAAAGACTTAACTTCAGAACATGTAAATATCTAAAAAAATTAAAGAATTATTCAATCGAGATTCGAGATATAGTATTACGTATGGCCACTATATTACATACAAATCCAAACAGTCCACAAATAAACAAAATTGTAGTTTTGAACATAAGCCGTGTATTTTCTTTACAGTCACCTCGTATTATTATATTATCCATTCTTAGATATATTCGACTATTTCTAATATTATTTTGTTTTTGTTGAATTTTACAATATTATAAAGTTAAACAGATTTTATAAGTTTTACCTACTTGTTGTCTTGGATACACGCATTGAAACATACATAAAACTAACTGGTTAAATATATTATTATTTATAATGTTTACATTAAATTGTTTTATCTTATTTATTAATTTAATGAAGGTTAGTGTAATAAAGGTAATACTTAAGTGCATTTTTTTTTTTTTTTTATAAAGTCTGTTTAACCGACTTGAACATTAAATGAGTTGGTACATTATGCTTATTGGGTGCTATACACGGTGCATTTAAGTTCTCTTAAAAAAATTATCAAAAAAAAGTAATAAAATAATAAAAAATTATTAAATGGTTAATACTTGTAAATTAATACATAAATAAATAAAAGCTTAGCTCGGAGTATTATTATATTTATAAATTACGACCGATTTCGAATAAAAAACTCATCATCAGGTATATTTTATTAACTCAGTATATACCCAATGATGAATTTATAATTCAAAACCTATCGTAATTTATAAATATAAGAATTCTCCAAGCTAAGCTTTTGCATATTTATTTATTTATTTCGACATATAAAATATATGTTTATTTATTTATATATTTAAAAAAAAGGTATTGTAGAAACTAAATCAACTCAAAAATAAAGGTCCACTTGGCCTTTGCTCAAAATCGTTTTTCGAAATCAATAGTATCTAATAGATATTTTTAATAAATTATTTTTATATTTAACTAGTTATTAATAATAATAATAAATCGTTGTTTACTGACGGACATTTCATACGAGTGGAATGTGGTCACTGGTCATTGATTGGCTGTTGTACCTTGCAATATATTTTCGAAAAATAAATTATAAGATCAACACGTAGCGGAACAGCTGTTCAGTGTTATTTCTTTTTATCAGTCGACATTGAATCTCCAATCGAAATATTAAATTGCTGTGAGTTACATTGTTACAATGCCAAAACAATACAATTATTACTTATTATTCATTTGTTTTTAGTTTCAGTTTATCTTATGCTTTCATCCGCGTAGCTTCATTTATTACTCCGGTTTAATAATATTCAAATAGTTGATTAATTAGAAAATCAAAATGTCTTTAACAAAAGGTATACTATAATAATCATAATATAATTGATATTTACAAAAACTAACAATGATTGGTTTTAGGTATTTTTATTGTAGCTGCTAAGAGGACTCCGTTTGGTACATATGGTGGTAAATTTGTTAAAACTTCATCTACTGAACTACAAGTAGTTGCTGCGAAAGCTGCGCTTGCAGCTGGCAACGTAGACCCAAATATTGTTGATTCAGTAATAATTGGAAATGTTTTGATTGTAAGTTTGATTAATACCATTGTTTTTATTTTATTTGTTAATGGTAGGTATATGATAAAAATACCAAAGTTTGATAATCATGTTATAAAATAGATTAAGAATTTATAATACTATTTTATTGAATATTTTTTAATTGATATATTAAATAGAACAAAAAGAAATGTTTAAAATAAATGCTACTTCAATATCAGTTTTAATAAGTTAATTTTTATTATTTCAGAACTCATCTTCAGATGGTGCATTCTTACCCAGACATGTACTTTTGCATAGTGGAATTCCACAAGATCGTCATGCTCTGGGTGTCAATAGATTATGTGGATCAGGATTTCAGTCTATTGTAAATGGAGCTCAGGTACAACAAAGTTAATGTTTTAAAAATATTTAATTTACTGATTTATTTTTAAAATATTTTGAAAAATTGTTACAAAATATTATTCAAACTTCAATGTTCTACTATTTGTATTTTATACTGTATTAGAGTATTATATGTGGTGAATCTAATGTTGTGTTGACTGGAGGAGTAGACAGTATGAGTCAATCTCCACATGTTGTCCGTAATGCCCGTTTTGGGATACCTCTTGGAGCATCATATGTTTTTGAAGACAGTCTCTGGACAGGTTTAACTGATACATATTGTAAATTACCTATGGCACTGACTGCAGAAAAATTAGCTGAAGTATATAAAATTACAAGACAAGAAGTAGATGAATATGCTTTAAGATCTCAGACCTTATGGAAAAAAGGTTACAATGATTAAAAAAATTTTAAAAAAGCGTGCAAATTGCAATCAATACTGAGTTTAAACCTTTTTTAGCCCAGGAAAACAATGTGTTCAGTGCTGAATTAGCTCCTGTGACTATAAAAATTAAAAAAGCAGATGTTAGTGTAGATATAGATGAACACCCAAAGCCAAAAACTACTCTTGAAACATTAGGAAAATTACCTACAGTTTTTAAAAAGGATGGAGTTGTGACTGCTGGTTCAGCATCTGTAAGTGCATAGAGTAAAAATAAAACTTAATAATTTTCTTCCTTGAAAGTATTTAGTATTAATAAAAATTTATTTAAAATTTAGGGCATTTGTGATGGTGCTGGAGCTGTGATATTGGCCAGTGAGGAAGCGTTAAAGAAACATTCTCTAACTCCATTGGCAAGATTAGTTGGTTATTCAGTAGTTGGAGTTGATCCAAGTATTATGGGTATTGGTCCTGCTCCATCAATTTCAAAACTGTTGAGCTTTACTGGAAAAACACTTAATGATATTGATTTAGTAGAGGTAATTTAAATAAAAATTTCAACTTTCAAATTTTCAAAAAAGTTACTTCTTGTAGCAATAGTATATTTGTATAACTCATAGTTACTATTTATTTCTACCACAGCTATAAATGCCTTGATTAATTGCATTTTTGAGCACATTAAAATTCTTCCCTTATTACTATATAGAGCTATATTATATTATATATTCAATTAATCACAAATTAACATTAATATAGCTTTTCTAAGCTTTAATTTAGATGTAATAACAGTTAAAAAATTTTAGTTAATACAGTAATCTATAGTTTATTTAAAGATAAAACTTTGAAAGCATCTTATTTTCAAAATAAGAACAATTATTCAATCTTATACCTACAGTAAATATGAATCTTAACTATTTTTAATTACTTATGGTTTATCTATATTTTTTTCCTGTTTAATATTTGTTTTTCCAATTATTACTATAATATGTTCAAAATATTATTATTATTCATTATTATGAATTTGTGTGAAAATGTTTTAAGATCAATGAGGCATTTGGAGCTCAAACTCTTGCTTGCCAAAAGGAATTGAAACTAGACATTGAAAAGCTTAATGTGAATGGTGGTGCTATTGCAATTGGTCATCCATTAGCAGCATCAGGTGCCAGAATTACTAGTCATCTTGTCCATGAACTCAGGTGAGTTAATTGTATTTAACATACACACAATTATAATTTGAATATGAAACCAGGAAGTGTATATTTAACTTGACCTTTTTATGTAATATCCATTACATTGTTAATCGTTGTGATGCATGCACTCAATCTTTTAAATTATTTTATCTGATTAGACTTTGATAACCATAATAATAAAATAAATACTTGAAAGAATATAAACTAAGATTTAAAATATAATTATATTTAAAAAATAATTGTGTTTGATAGTATACATTTTTCTATAAAAAATGTATTTATTTTTTGTTTATTAATTAATCATACCTACCAATTTCTTTGACTTAAACATTTTTTTAATTATAAATTTAAAGTAGTTATGGGTATTAGGTTTATTGGTATTAATGTGTATAATACAATTTATTATTTTATGGAAACAGTAATCATGTAAAGTTGATGTACATAATATAAACTACATACGTTTAAATAAATGTTTATTTTAAATTAGAATTAATTTGATTATAAAAATAATAATAATATATATAATAATCATTAAGGACCGAATTTATGAAAAATAAAAATCTATAACAATTTTTAAAAAAACATAAAATTATAATTATAATTATTATTATTATTATAATTTAATTTTTTTATTCATTTTATTTGCATGATTATAATTATAGAATATTCAACATTTATACACCTCTCCAGAAATAGTCAATTAATATGCATTTTCATTAAAATATGCAACAAAAAAAAAAAATTAACCATTATAACCATTTATTCATTACGAAACAACATATAATAAAATCAAAATTATTCTAGATGAATTGTAAAATATACATTTGTAATTAAATCCGAGCCCTAATAATCAAATTAAATATTAATTTTAACAATCAGAACTGTAAACTTAAAACATTCTTTTTGTTATAAAAAAAATTTTTTACTATAAAAAATTAATTATTTAACTACAATCTACATGCAAAATGCTACTTCGCATTTTTGAGAATCTTAGCATAATTATATGCAGGTTTTAATTTTGTTGTTTAAAAAATAAGATTATTTAAAAATATTTTTGAACATTAAATTTACAGATCTAAATTCTGATAATTATGATACAAAACGCACACCCGCTTAAAAAGTGACACAACTGAAAAAATATTTTTTGAGATATGCCACTTTTGATAATATTGTTTTAGTTAATTTTTTATATTATTAAAAGTGATATTTTTGCCAACCGTTGGTGAAAGATAGGAATAAAATTATGACTTATTGTGTACAATACAAATATATCAAACATGATATTTATACAGAATCTACCATATAATAAGATGGAAAATCGCGATTTTTGATTTGTGTTACTTTTTTAAGCAAGGGTACGAAAAGTAGATATTATTTATAATTGTTTTATTTTTGTCTTTTAGGCGTAAAAATCTTAAATACGGAATTGGCTCTGCCTGTATTGGTGGAGGACAAGGAATAGCTGTCATGGTTGAGAAAGTTTAAAAATGTATACTTTTTAAAATACTCAAGACTGGTTTATGGGATTATTTTATTTTCAAGAAATTTTAAATTATATTGTTAAAAAAAAAAAAAAATTGTTATACTACTTATTATTTATTTTATTCTAATACTTACCAATTACCAATAAATCAACATATATATTTTATGAAAATCGTAATTTTGTATTTTTAAATATATTGCAATTATTATTAAATATAATGCTTTATTCCTATAGTGCTTCATATCTTGCAATCTAGCTACCTAGGAGAGGTTAATTGCAGATAATTTACCATCTAATTGGTTTAATTGTATTTTATACATAGTAAATTAATTTTTATTCTACATGTAATAATGTATTCATTCTATAATAATCTAACCACACACATATTAAGCTAGTTTAATGATCTTTTTAAAATAATAATATAACATAAAAGTATGATAGAGAGATTTCCATAGTCCTCAATACTTTTATAACCATAGAATTCCATTTTACATCAATAATTACAAACACATTACATTAGAGTTATGAGATTTCAGGAAAATGCAAAGATAAATAAATTACAATATTGAATTATTAAAAAATATAAGATATAAAACCTAAAAGTTATTATTTTTTTTATTTATTAGAAAAATATTGATATAGCACTATTAATTATAACAGTTAAAAGTTAGTACTTACATAGTGTCTTTCATAATAACTAAACTAAAAAGGAAGTAAATATGAAGATATAAAAATGTTAATACAAATATATTAGTGCAATTTTCTTATTAACATTAATAATAAATAGAATTTATTCTGTAAAATAATTTATATTTTTTTTGGTGTAAAAAAATTAGAAATAATATTAATTTATGGATTAAATAAAAATAAATAAAATTATAATAATGCTTGAACAGTATGGTATGTACTTCTGAAAGTTTATTAAAATTAAATTGTAACATTTTCTACAATTATATTTTCTTCTAAAGGCTGGTTTCGTTCTTTTTCTGGAATTTCACACCAATTAGGAGATGACTCATATGAAGACAACCAATCAAAATCATTTATAATTTTCCAATTATTGGTTGATTCGTCAAAATTAGCCATTTCAAAAGATTTTTTTACTATAGGACTACTGTTAAGTGTAATAGGAGCAAATCGCAATTGCTTGCTATTTTCTATTATAGCACTACTAGTAACATAAATATAAAAGTCAGTTTCAACAGTATCATGGATGCGTAATTGTTGAGATGCACTTACAAAAATTGAGTTCTTACAGTTTTCAACAAAAATTGATGTACTTGCACATGCAAATACTTTACATGCTGATAATGAAGACACACGAACAGTACTAGGAGTACCACAAATAAAAACATTACAATTGTTTAATACATCTAGAGCTATGTCTTTTGAATAAGTCTGATCTTCTGTAAGTTTTAGGGTTTCATTAGAACGATTTTTAAACCCATAATCTTCTTTATACACTTTTGATTTATTTATTGGTTCAAATGTTTCTTCAATATTTGCTTTAACTACTGATTTGGTTTGTCGTTTACCAAATGTAAATTTCTTCTTGGGTAAAACTTTTTCATGCATTTGTTCATAACACTTAGTAATGTCTTTGATTTCATTTGCACATTTTTTCATATTATAGGCTGGTAAAAATGTTTTAGAATCATTCACAAATTCTTGTAACTCATTAATTTTTTGTAAAATTTCTTGGAAGTGTTTGGTTTCATTAGAATTTTTTTCAACATTTATTAATAAATTATTAATTTCTTTTAATTTTGTTTTAAATGATAAATCAAATGTAGATTTTTGATTAATCGGTTCTTCGACAGATACTGAATCCATGTTTAATTTACAAAAAGTAAATGGAATGAACTTTTTTGATTTATTGAAGATCTGGTAATTGATTAGTTACAAGATGATGTACGTTCATAAATTAATTGAGCAGTAGCAACAACATATGACCAAACAAAAACTGTTATTAATAAAAGACCCTGAAAAATAATATTTGTTATAAGAAATAAAAATTAGAAAATAAATTAAGGATTTCAAGAAATATGTTAAGTTAAAAAATGAGAGCTAAAATATAAATTAAATACTAAATATTAAGTAATATAAATATATACAAAAATTACTAATTAATACTATAAATTATATACATGAGGATATTAGAGGTATGTATATTTTACCCTAATGAACACGAGCAAGTAATCAAAAAATTTCTTTTAGAAGGAGCTATCAATTTTGGGCCTTATATAGTTTTCCATAATTTGTTTTCAAGGAGAAACTTTCAGATCTTGTAGAAGGCACTATTTGACACTAGTTCCCATTTAATATTGTCTACTATGAATAAACCCTATGTTTACTTTTAAAGTAACATTTTCTAATATAAAATTTAAAATAAAAATAATAAATCTATGTATAAATTATATAATAATCAAAATCATAATAAATTGTATCAGCAAATAATTATCACAATAGATTTATTTTATGTCCACAAACTATAAGTGTATCATGTTTTTGACACTTGGAAAAAATATTGTATATGAATTTGAGGAACTAACTATGGGCCAGAGTAAATTAAGGGGGGTCTAGTCCACCCAGGCTAACCACTGGTTACCTGCTTGAATAGACATGAAAATTTTGATTAAATATTTATTGTATTTTTTTAAGTAACCCAGTCTGAAAACCTTCCCAAGCATATTAACATTGGATATTAGTAATTGTATTTAAGGTTGAATAGGTAAAAAATGGAACACCTTAGAAGTTTACTGGTTGACCCTAAAGATTTTCCATAAAATATTTAATTAAGTTTTATTATTATTTTTATCAAAATTTTAAAAATAAAAATATTATTGAAATATATAATTTTATAAATTTTTAACTGAAAATCATTTGTTAAAAATATTTTACTGAGGTAAACGATAAACAAATGGTTTTTATTACATATTTATACTTTGACAGTAAGTTCATAAGAAGAAAACCTGACATCAGCATTGGTAACTAGTGAGGGCAATGGAAGATTTAAATAGGGGATATAACTAACCTTGGTTAGTTTAGTAATAGATACAATATAAAAATTATAAACAACACAATTTAATAGTTATTTTGAAAACGAATATATAATTTCTAGATTATCCTATGACTAATATGATATAAGTAATAAACCAACTGATTGATGTAATGACATCAACCATGTAAAATAGTCTTATTTGTAATGTACATTTATGACTTAGTCTTGTATTTTATACTATTGCTTTTTTTTTTTTTAAATTAAGGTATTTTATATTTTTAAAAAACTTTAGACCCACCCACCTCTTAAAACCAAATTCTAGATCCTTCACTAAACTGTTTCTGAAACTGGAAATGTGTATATCTCAAATACAAACCTAGGTCTGACCCTATTAGTTATTAACTACATTAGTAAAGCATATAATTTTTATCTGTTTTATCCAATTATTAGTTCCCAAAATAATAATTATATACATATATATATAATATATGATAGTAAATATTATATTATATTGTATATTATATTACATTATATATTAAACTTACAACATTTATTGCATTAATTGTTTTCTTATTGGGTACCATAACTGTGACTACAATACAGTGAATCTATTTAAATAAAAATCGTAATCAGTTTCTAATTATTAATTTAAACGTGAATATTATGGAGTTTTAGATAAATGAACACTGAACATAATTAATGATGGCAAATGGTATTTGAATAACTATTGCAATCAAAAAACTTCAACAATTTTAGAAATAGAATATTATCTCATTCCAAACGAGTTATTACTTGATAACTTATCAAAACTGTCAGCCTTGACGATACCATAAAAATACCATATTGTACCACAGTTTCGGGCGAATAACATTTTTTAAATTCATGGATTTCGTTCATAGACGTTAAAGATATACGTAGAAAGATCTATAATGATATTTTAATGTTAATGACTTCGTTACTCGAATAATGAGAATAGCAGACTGTACGATAACGGCTATAGTTCAATATCGTAATGAACCATTCTTCCATTGCCGAATACCAATAACGTTCGTATCAGTAAAATAATAATGTAATACGGTACCTATACCTATGTGGCTAAGTTAGTAACTACTCTGGCTTTACGTACAAACATAACGGGAAATTAATAATTACCTATCATATTTCCTTAGACTGCAGTGATCTTCCCGATAGGTGTTTACTTCTATCCTCCCCGAAACGGTGAAACAAATGTTGAATTGTTAATCGTTTTATGGCCGTTGTTGAACACTCAAAATCAATATTCTATGTTGTACTGCGAGTAACGACAAGACATTATTTTTCCTTTACCAAATATTACCAAAAAACGAATAATGACAAGAATCCATTTATCTTTTCGTTTATGTGAGTATCAGTTCTCATAAGATTTGTGCATGGCACATTTTAAGGTAAGAATACAGTTAAGTTGTGAGTTAATTCCGTCCACGGTGTTATTAATTATTCGAAGATATTTCATTGGATAAGAAAATAAAAATACGAATTTACAACATTTAAATCAATAATTCAAGTAGGTAATTAAAGTATTAATGTGTAGGAATTACATTTGCTCTAGAATAAACTATTATCTCGATTTAATAATTTATAACCCGGGCCGGTCGAGCGGAGAAAGACGAGTAGATATTTCTACCAATACCTGTACTCCACCGTTTTAAATAAACAGTATAATATATTTTAAAACGTGATGTACGGTGTAGAGAAAAATTTGGTTAGAATAGATTCACTTACAGTCAGTGTCGGATTACCCATTAAGCTGAGTAGGTTAGTCTAAACATAATCCGTCTAGGGCCTCATTCATTTAAGGGGTCCTATGAAAACGGAAAATTATAATTTTTTTTTTATTTAATAATACCTGTATTTTATTTACGAATTAACGGGACAAAAGTCATTATGAAATATAATATATATTAAGTTGTAGGTGTTATATGCAGTAGTAATAATAAAATTATTTTGAAAAAATAGAAATAATAAAAAAATTAAATATGATTTTATTTATTAATAATACCTATTTGTTTATTATTAAAACTGTTTATTTTAATTATGAGATAGTAATGTTAAAGATGTAAGTAAAAAATAATTTTGCCCTATATTTTAATTGTCTAGGGGCCCACAAATGTTTAATCCGGAATTGCTTACAGTGTAAAATTTTCCTTATAAATGTAGCGCATTAAATTGTAGAAATAAAAACCAGGTAAAATAATAATTAGGAAATTATTTCAGACTGGCGCACGGTCGTTGTTAATGATGTTGTTACGGCTAGTCTACAGTCCAGTTCATTGGAATTGAGCTGGCGAGCTACCGATAAAATCCGGTGGGTCGGTCATAAATGTTTGGGTCATTATTTTTTTTATAGGACGATGAAAAATAATACAAATATCAGTAGAACATATAATTGAATTAAATTATTAAACTGTACAGTTAGAATAGGTGGTGTCAAACAGTAAAATACGAGTACAGCTATTTCCAAGGGTTTTCTATAGGCACATTTAATCGCGTAACAAGTCGAAAACCAGGATAAAATATTAGTTTTATTACGCTTGAAGCAATAATGGAGGAGATAAAATAATATATTATTTACTAATACTTCTTTATTTTACTTATTTTATTTTTTACTTATTTATTTATTACTTATTTACTATTATTTATTCTATAGTATACTGTTCTAACAGCTCATACATATCTTTAAATATTTGCATTTTCAACTTCAGCTTCTTTATATCTTCAAACCAAAAATATGAATGTTACACTAGCATTTAATATGATCAAGACCGGAAAGAGGGTGGGGCATCATAAATATTATAATTGTATGAATTTTGTACATTGTTTCAGATTTGAATTTTTGACGTCAATATCAAACAAATTCTATAAAAAATTTCAAAATAATGTAGTAAAACACTAGCAACTTCATAAAAACGTATACACAACCAAAATGGATTCTTTTTCTAACTCGTCGTCTTCTTATAATATGTCTACAAGTTCAGAATCAGGAAATGAAATTAGAAATAAAACTACATTTGATACCATTAAAGTAGACTTTGAAAAAACATTCAAAATGGGATTAGATTCAAATTTACTTTGTCAAACTTTAAATAAATCTCCAAGAAACGTTAAGAAATTGAAAAGAAAAAAAAACTTATGCACATCATCAGATATTCTCCACGAGAATAAATATTCTCACTTGTCATATTCATTTAATCCGCCAAAAACTAATCATAATTTATCTAATTCAAAAAACGTATCAACTAACAGTAGTACAAAATATAAATGTCTAACTACTAATACTACAAAATCAGTGGATTTGAATAAAAAATTTACTATTGCCATTGAATCTTCGTCCGATTCTGATTTTCCGGATTTAAAATATATAAAACTGATTTCAAAAGATACAGAGATTAATACTTCTTCTATCAGTAACGAGTCAAGACAAAGTAGACCATATTCTATTAAAAATAAACCATTTGTTTATGATAGTTTAAACTGCAGCAGTTCGTCATCAAGTCTTAGTAACTTTTCTCAGATAAATACTGAGTCTGCAGCATTGAAAAATAAAAATAACCATGATACTGAATTAAATTTGGATAAATTATTATTAGATTGTAGTTTGTCTGATTTATTATTAATTAGAAAAGATGATGGAGATATAGATAGTCAAGTATGTTCAACATTGGATACAAGTGATAATTCTTTTATACGAATGAAATCAAAATCTCCAAAACCTTTACTCTTAAATAATAGTTTTAGAGTTGATGATGACAGTCAACCACAACAATTATCGAACGTTACTATTAACATACCAGATTTTATGAAAAATGAAACTGAAGATAAACAAAATAAATCGATAGATACAATAGAGGTTGATGGACAACATGAATTAATTAATGAACATTGTAAAGTTATTAAAAAAAAATCATTTCTCAATGAAGTTGATATAAAACCTAGCACAAGATCTAATTCTTATAGATCAATTGAAGACAGTATTACTAGTGCAAGTTCAGAACATATTTGCAAGTATTGTAAGCGTTCTAGTAAATCAAAAGTTGATACTAGTAACTGCAGTCATAAAAGTTCTAAAACGAATTATAATAAAGGTAAAAAATTGAGTAAATCAAAAATGATATCAAATAAGTCAGACGTTTTGCGTTTAAGAAAATCATATGTTACGAAAAAATTAAGAAATCGCAAGTCTTCTACAAATATAGTTGAAGATATTGGACTAGAATATGATACAAATAAGGATAATTTTATGGTAGAATTACCTAATGGAACTTTAGTGCCAGAGTTTTTATCAACATTAAAACCTAAACATGTAAAAAAAATGTGTGCTTGTGGCATAACTCCTTCGGAAATTCCACTTACTTGGGACGAAAAATTTCATGACATTCTACATCAAAACATCCATAAATTATGGTTTAAATGTAACATTATTGAACATAATACTATTAATAGTATTCATTTCAAACTAAATAATTTATTCTATAGAATTTTAATTTTAAATAATAATTATAATGATGAAAGTATAAGCGAGTCCATTGAAAATATAGATGATTTTGTATGCTTGGAATATGGTATTTTTAAACATGGCTTACGATCTAATAAAAATTCAACATATCTTTTAGCAATATTACCTAATTTTAAGGTCATAGGATATTTAGAAGTAAAGCCCATAAATAAAGCTTATAGATTTACAGATGATACACAACTTTTAGAAGAAACATCGATTGTTAAGTTTGGTGTGTCCAAGATTTGGGTTGTAATTAAATACAGGAATAAAAATATAGATATCAACTTATTGAATACATTTTGTGAAAAAAAAAATATTCAAAAAGAGGATTTGGCGTTTTCATTAAATGGATGTCAAGGAATCGCGTTTATTCAAAAATATACGGGAAATAAAAATATTTTCATTTACAATGAAATTCCTGCCAAATGTAAGATTGAATAATAAATTTAAGTTTTAATAAGTAAACATTGTTTTTATAAACGTATTTAAACTTTGTAATTAGTATAATACAATATTGTAAGCTCAAATAAATTTAATAAAAATAAATGTTACATTGAGTTTATAAATATATATATATTTATATTTATGTATTTAAATATAGTTTGTTTATAAATATAAAAAAATTTAAATTTAACATAATATTTTTAATTGAATTTCAAGTTACAAATACATAAAATTACTAAAAAAAGTTTTGTATTCAATTTATTTTATAATTAAGATCTAACAATACCAAACATTCAATCAAATTCAAATATTTAAAAATATTTTATTCTGAAAAATAATTTTTTTGATTAAAACATTTTAATCAATAACATACGGTTGGGTAGGTACATGCTGATACCTATGTATAATTTGAATTCAATTGTATGAATTCATTTACGTTACCTATTATTTAAGTTATTTTTTTTTTTTAAAGTCATAATCTTTTGCGAAAGATTTAATTTTTATATAGGTTTTAGATTTATATCTTTTACATTACCCAAAGGTTTATAATATTTTGAAGCTTATCACCAGGGCTCATAACTTCTAGCATTTGCATATTTTTTTTGAGAGGTCCTACAGGTACTTATGTGAGCTATAAATTTGTGTCAGATAACCAAGAAGCTACATACGAAATTTTATGTTGCATATTTTTGGATTTTTGCATGATTTTTATCATTGATTTTTTTTTGATTTTTTTTTTGGAGCCCAAAACATTTTTTCTTAAAAATAACAAGTAGTTATAGTCATATTAATTGTTCATATTAGTAATTAATTCGTGTTAATTAATTTTCTTCTTACATAACTTATATAATAATATCAGATAAACTATATATATCTATACGAGTTTAGGCGACGCGCAACGTAGCGAGAATGTACGCCCGAAACTTTGTAATCCCATTGATAAGGAAACCATTATAATCGAATATAATTGTAACTTGTACTGTAGTATTTTATTTTTATAGTTTGTAGGTATATAGGTATATTCCGATATCATCATTCTCAGATTATTTACAGAATATTTTTCATTAACATTTTGCAGTCGTTTCCGATTTTTTGTATTGTGTGAATGCTAGTTCGTTTCGTGAATTCATTATTTATTTTTTTTTTTTTTTAATAATAGAAGCTAAAATAATAAAATAATGTAATAAATAATAATTTTTGTACACAAACGTTTTTTTTTGCATATTTTAGTATTTTTAGAGCATATTTTAGCGCTTATAATAACCAATTTTAGAGTTATAAATTATGAGCCCTGCTTATAATTAATTGTTAGTAATACAACTAAAAAAAATTTAAAAGATAAGAGATATTGACAAGACCTTAACAAAGGGGAAGAGGCAGAGATATCTACGCCTTAAGCCGTGGTTTCCTACAACCATGCATCCTTGATTGCGTGGTGCGCGTTTGCGTGATGCGTAATGGAAGTGTTTTACTACGATGCGTATTTACGACTGTGTGGTTTGGAGAAGACAATAATTTTAGTCAGTCGATGTTTAGTAGCACATCAAAATGGACGTGGTTATGCTTTATACAATTTTGAAGTATGAAGCAGATGAAGAACTATTGCTATATGTGAATAATTTTCGAAATGGAAATCATGAAATATTTAGTCAATGGAACAGAGAAGATTGTTTCAGTACTTTAATTATTAATAAAAATTAAATAAAACATATAATAAAATATTTTAATAATGTATAAAATAATTTCATCCAGCACTGCGTTTCACGCAAAAGTTGCCCTCGTGGCGACTGCTGCGCGATTGACGTGCGTGATTCGATAATCGCGCGCGTGAATTATTAATAAACATCGATACTATTTTTCATGGTTTCAACTTTTGCGCGAACTACGCAATCACGGATGCGTGGTTGAAAGAAACCACGGCTTTGAGCGCAATTCCTAGGCGTGCGTAAAAATGCTCTTGCATCCCCATAAATTTAAAAAAAAACCTTATAATAAAAAATTTATAATATCACAGATTAAATCTATGCTATGTATATATTCATCGGATTTTTTAGTAGCCGTCATAACGTATACTATATAGCCGTCGAAAAATACCAAAATAATTTTGTATTAATGTACAACTTAAAAACTTAAATAATTTAAGCATTATTTAGAAATCAACATTTATGCTAAGCATGATGCACCGCCTTGACGAAATTCCTAACGATGTCTATGCGTTACATAAAATTCTCATATTGTATACTCTGCCCGTAACCTATATTTATACTTATATATAAAGGTGGGCATTAACTAGTTAGTTTATTTTCTAATAGACTTTTTAACTTAACTAGTGTAATTGGCAGTTGAAATAACTTAACATTTCACAATTAAAAATGATCTATCAAATTAAATATTTAGACATTTTTCGTTTGCAAGTTTGTATTAATATAAAAGTTAAATAATCGTGTAAAGTAAAATTGTGGCATATATTGTACATCAGATGCGATGCAACACGATTGTGCATTTTGCCTTTTTTTGACTTGACTAATTACACCTCAATTGCACAAAAAAAAATTGCAACACAATTTGGCCCCAATCCCTTTTTAACTGATAAAATCACAACATCATTGCGCACCAAATTATATGTGTATATACTATGTATAATTTATGTACAACAAAATAATGTATACAATACATACTTTCTATAATTTGCATATACATGCACTCAAACTATTAATTCACAAAATGCACTTTTTCAAAATCGAAATGAAAATTTGATTGAGCTAACGATAGTTATAATAATATTATCGACTAATGACTATCAGTATAGAAAAAAAAACAATTTTTAATCAAGTCAACGATGAAAATTTGTTAACAGTCCTAAGCTTGTAATAATCAAGGGTGTATTTGAGTTGAGGCCATGGAGGGGGGAAAACTAATTTTTCTTCGATACAAACTTAAAAATAATTTACAGTTCATTATCTACAGCTCATATTTCTGTTATAATGATAACATATTATAATGATAAACTAGTAATTTATATTCTTAATTATTTATACATTACATTTTTTAAATAAATCAATGTATTATATTTAAAAAAATACGAACCATTGGGGGGCAAATGCCCCATCGCCTTCCCCTCAAATACGCCCTTAGTAATAATTTTGAAGGAAAATTGTGAATTAATAGTGTGTGTGCATGTATATAAAAATTATAGGTTGAAAGTATGTATTCTATACATTAATTTACGTTGTACAAAAATTATTATACATAGTATATACACATATAATTTGGTGCGCAACGGTGTTGTGATTTTATCAGGTAGAAAGGGATCGGGGTGCTATCGTGTTGCACATTTTTTGCGTGATTGTGGTGTACGTAGTCGGCTCAAAAAAAAAAACGAAAAATTGCGCAATCTTGCTGCAGCTCATCAGAATTCATATTAAATTTTGTTAGTCCAGGGCCCACCTTTGGGTACTGGGTCTTGGCCGTGAATGTAGAATGTTATGTATAAAGAATATTAACTATAAAGATAAATAAATACGGTAGTGAGTGGCAATGAAGTACAATGTTATAGTATTTTTCAAACACTTCGGTGCCAATGCTGTATATTATGATAAATTCAATAAAATTGTTTATTATAATTTAGGAAATTAGATCATTCTGAAGAACGCAGTCACTTTTTATGCGATTTATATATGAATTAAAAATAGTAGATTAACTTTTTTTAAACTGAATAAGTTAATATTTTTTTCCTTATTAACTTTTAACTTATCGAGTCAAATTTATGAATTGTTATGAACTGTTAATTTTTAACTTATTGATTTTGTGTTCTCTTAAATTAACTCGAGTAAATTACTTTCATTAACTTGCCCATCTTTGATTATATATAACGTGTATTAAAAACGGAAATCAAATTATTAATAGAGAAGTTTAGCATCAATGATTTAAGATTTTTTTATTGAAATATAATTATTTATTAATACATATTTTAGTACTAAAAAGAATTACAATTTACAATTAGATTTAATATTTGTGTATTACCTAATTATTCTAACCACAGTCTAACCTTTTAATTCATTCTTTGGTCCAACCACGGTTTAAGATTTAACTTAAACCGTAGGTCCAACTATAATCTTATCAATAATTAATAATTCCATGATAACATTTAATAATTTGCATCTCATGTAATAACGTGTTAATGGTGTAAATTCCAAGCCAGGAAGAGTGCCGAAAAGTAAGATATATGATTTGAATGTTTGATAATTATTTTGATTGATGTACTCTTAATAAAGTTCCTTTTTCTTTTTAGCAGTACCTAGTTATTTTGATAGGTTGAATGTTCAATATTAATAAATATTATTTGACTATTCAATTTTGATATCTGTGTACGATTTTTAGAGAATTTTAAAATGACTATAAACCGGTATTTAATATACTTTTCGTACATCGGAACTAGATTTCGGTAAGAAAATTAAAGACACTCAATGTTATTTGAAAGAATAAATATTTTTTATAATTTAATTACTCAAAATTGCCTAAATCAATTAATCCATGTAATTTATTACTAAATGAAATATATTGGATTTTATTTTTTAGTGGAGTACAACGACAATTGACTTATGATATGGTTCATCATGATGATCCATCTTCTGTGCAAGGATTGTTAGAATATGCTTTTAAACAATTACAACCTGTAAATAATCCAAAATTACACTTATCTAGTCGGTTAGTTAACATTTCATGTTATATTACAAATAATTTCTAAAAATTATTACATAGGTCTCAACTATATAAATGTTAATAAATTAAATTAATTATTTTAATATTCTGTAATATTTTATTTTTATTTAAAAGTACATCATTTGTAGAATATTAAATAAATATGCTTTGAAGCATATAAATTATAATAAAATTTTTTTTACTTTTATTTATAGAACCGACCAAGGAGTTCACGCATTTAAATCATCTGCTCACATTGACTTAGAACTACCATATTCTTGTCATCCCAACAAAATTGTATTTCAAGTTAATAGTTTTTTAAGTTCATGCCAAGTTCCTATTAAGTATGTTTAAAATATTTTGCATTAAAGAATTTATTTTTTTTTTAATATTTATTATTTTGAATTGTCTTCGGTTTGTCTAGATTTCATAACCTAAAAATCATATACTGAGTTTTTTATTTAGTTAGATAAAGTGTTTAAGTTCGAAGTGTTAAAAATGTTAACATAATTACCTAATAGTAGATCTGAACAATTTTTTTATGTGAAAAAAAGCAAAAATATCGGCTCTAACATATTTTTTAATTTCTAATTTATTTGGAGTAAATCTTACTCAATTTTATGTATTAAATAGTTTTACATATACGAGTATAGCCTTAATTAAATATTTGCTTATTTAATATATAAAATATAAATAGTTATAATCTACTCATCTATCTATAGACATAATGTTATCACTTTTCCTATTATTGAACTATTTATTTAAATTTATTCAGGTTACCATAAAATTTGTAAAAATTACATATTTTTACTTTGCAATACTCATTAATTATTATTACTATTATATTGTTTAAATTATCTTGTAAAGTTTTTGTTTATGTAATGTGTTAGACTTGTTGGAGCCCAAATTGTTTCTAATGAATTTAATGCAAGAGCATGTGTAAAATGGAGGAAATATTTATATCGATTAGCCGTGTTAAAACCAGATTATAAAGATTTATATGCTGAAAGATTTGTATTTCCAATTCCTATTATAGAAGAGAATCGATGTTTTTTTATTCTGTAAGTTACCGAGTACAGTACAATTTTGGTAATTCAGTTATATTTTTCAAAATATCCTTAACATAGGAATAAAATAAAATATTTGTATAAAAAATAAACCAAATATTAATCATAATAATTTTAAAATAGTTAATACAATTCAATAAGACAGTATATGTTCTTATAATAATTTAAGTTTTTAAATTTATATATAATAATTTAAGACAAGTACAAATTTGTAATTTAATTCCTATGAAGGTAATTTTTTGAAAATATATTTGCTGGGTCTTACATTTTATACTAATTAGAAGAGTCATTTGGTTCTTAAATTATTGGAATTCTGACATTATCCTATATCTATATTGTATAAATATTTATTATTTGAAATATAATAACAAAATGTGTTGCTTTTAGAAATCCTGAATTTGATTCAGAACTTGTGCATAATGTATTGCCTCTTTTTATTGGAACTAAAGACTTTAGAACTTTCATGGCTAAACCTAAACTAAATACTGAGTATGAGCATTTTTAATATTATCTAGAATATTATAAAATTATTATTATTTTAATTAGTTTTTATTACCTTGTAGAGTGAATCATAGATGTGTTTACAGAACAATATAGTTGACCTGTTCCCTCTTATATTTACTTAATAAGCTTCTTACTCTTTAATACATCTAAATCAATTAAATTTTACTGTTAATTTTATTATTTTATTATATAATCCTAATATATATGTTACATCTATATAGTATAATCATAGAATGAAAATCTAATTCATGAATTTAAGGTATAATTTAAGATTCTTATTTAAACTTTTTGAATTTTTTTTATAATTTATTTTGTATTTATAATTGTAATGCAACTGTAATTATAATTAACACTATCAAAATATTCGGTACACAGAAAACCCCATTATGACTATCTAGTATTTTTTAAAACAATTTCTCATGGTGTGTTAAATTTTTTATATTAATTCTACAAAAATAATTTGAGTGTCCATTACATTATCAGAACATTTTCTTACACAATATGATCAAAATATATGAAATTAAAATCCATTTTGTAAAGAGTGTGATATGTGCAATGTATACAAAAAAAAACTTATAATTTATGATAAAATAACTTACTTTTGGTTAATTCATCATATTAAACATATATTCGTTGTGTTTTAATAACAAAGTGTAAACGGAACACATTTATGATTTGAATTAATATTTTAAATACATTTCATTTATAATTTAGTTTTTATTAGTGTAATGTTCTGATTATTATTTTTAATCAATTTGTTTTCCTTTTAGTATAAAAACAGAACGGACATGGAATAGTATTAAATTAATTCCAAGCTTGTCATTTTATCCTACAGACTTTGACAAATATTATAATTATTGGGATATCCATGTTAATGCAAGATCATTTCTTTATAAACAAGTAAGATTTAATAATTTTGTATTATTTTTTTATTCATTATAATTTCTTTAAATTTTTACTACTAGTATCAGTTTTAGTTAATTTAAAGATGTAATTATTTTAAACTCAAGTTCAATAATATTTTAATATACATATGTACTCATCCCAAAATATAGAAAGATCTGATAACAGGCCCCCTACAAGAAATAAATATATACTTTTAGAATAGCATTTTATTGCTTGAAAAAACTATTTAATTTTTCAACCATTTATTCAAATTTTAAGCTATTGGAATTAAATTCTAAAATTTAATAATAAGCCAATTATTTAATACTATTATTGTTAAAAAAATTAATCTTTAAATATTTAATTTTTTTTTAGATTAGACGTACAGTTGGTGTACTTATAAAAGTTGCTCAAAAAGTAATTACATATGATGACGTTAAATATATGTTTGATAACCCTGCAAGTGAAAGTTGGAACCCTAAAGTATCAACTGCACCAGGTCATGGTCTATATTTGTATGACTTGGGCTATGATGAAGCAGATTTAGCAGTACCAATTGAAGATAAAAAGTTGAAATTACCAGTTCATAGTGAAAACCAAGATAACATTTCTTTGGATTTAAAAAAAGAAATTATCAAACAACGTATTGAGAATCGAAGAATTTCACTGAATACTAGAATCTCTAAGTCTAGAGAAAAAATTAAGAATCATGAGCTTCTTAGATCAGCTGAAAAGTAAAAAAAAAAGCTTAGAAAGAGTTGAAACTAAATTAACTACAGAAAGTGGCCTTGTTTATAAAGAAATTAAATCAGTAGATGGTTTTATAAAACAATCTCTGTTAACGGAACAAACATTTGGTTTTGTTGTTGATATAAAGCCAGATCTTCATGTTGGTAAAGTGTTTGAATTTTTATATTTTGGTTCACAAGATAGTGCTTGTGATATAAATATTTTAAGTTCTTTACAAATAACTGATATATTGAGTGTTGGTGTTGCAGTGCCTACAAATTCAAATTTGATGTACACATTTATTGAAGCCTATGATTTACCAACTTTTAAAATGACAAATATTTTTGATGATTGTTTTATATATATTGAAAATATAAGATTACGGAATCGACGTGTATATATTCATTGTAATGCTGGTGTATCCCGTTCACCAACTATTGTTATTGCTTATGTTATGAAATACTTAAAACTTGATTTTAAAAGTGCTTATCAATTTGTTAAAAACACAAGATTAACTATTAAGCCTAATGCTGGTTTTATTTCACAATTAATAGATTATGAAAATAAATTAAAAGGTAATTTGTATGTTTGAATTTAGAATATGTTTATTATTTGATATTTATTGTATTTTATATGAGAAGAAAAAGACTGTACATTTTTTATGCATACACGTTATATGTGTTGATGTAAATTATCTAAATTACTATAATAGATCATTAGAAATATATTAGAATACTACATAAGAAATAAATAATTTAACTCTATACACTATAATTTTTCAGAATTTCAGAGCATTTTGTTTGGCTTTATGGTAATAAAAGGTTAAGATTCTTTATACTTAAACTCACAATTGAAAACAATTGAAATTGTGTTAGGTAAATAATTAAATTGAATTAATTTTAATAATTCTTCATTTAATAGTTTTATTTAAAAATTAACAATGTCAATTACAAAAGTACTTAATTATTTATTTACAGCAGTAACATAAATTGGCACAGGTTTAATTTTAGTTCATAAATCACCAAATTTCATAATTACATCGATTATTGTCCTATTGTATTGGATGAAATGTTATTAAAATAAATATGGATTACAAATGTAAGTAAACAATTTAGAACTCAATAAACAATATTTGTTGAACAATTTCATGAATTATTTAATTATCAATAACAACTGTCATGGTAATAAAATTAAGTGTATGTGCGTTATTTTATCAGCTGTTATATTCACATATACCAATTGATAACCATGATGTTGTCTAATGTCTTTGGATTGTTTTTATCTCTACCTTATGCCTAGCACAACATAAGTATGACTGTGCTGTTTGTTTTGATAATTTAATGACGAAAAAAATTAGTGCGCACAAAAACAATAAAAATTGTTGTGATTACATGCTACAAACACGGAAAAATTTACAAACTAAACGAAATCTAATCCCAATTGATAAATCAATAAATTAAAGGTTGTCGAAATAAAGGTAAGTGATTTTTTTTGTTAAAAATTCATCTTTACCAAGAGTCTGAATATTGTGAGCCACTAAAACAATTACGCATTTAGTTTTTTCGCGCGTATGTCGTCAGTTTTGATTTGATCAGTAGTGTATTTCTTATTTGTTTATTTATTTTAGGATGAGATGGCTACCCTATTAGAAAATACGAAAGCGATGACTGATTCGGAAACTCATCTACTATCCTTCAGCCTTGACAATTTGGAAATAGATCCTACCAGGTAAAATTGATTATTTTAATTGTGGTTTATTTATATATTTATTTTTATCCGATTTTCGCCATTGCATGAGATGTAATTTAATATTGATGTAATTTTGTTTTATAACAATTGTTTTATCAGATTAGTATGTTTACTTTAATTAATGATTAGATTTGTTTGACCTTAGTAATCTTATTATTTTCTCTTGAAAAGCCCCCTCTTTTCTTATAGTTTTTTTTTGTGAAAGTAGAAAATGTATGCAATATATTTATTTGTAACTTATGTTTTAATAAATTTTAAGCTAACCAATACCTAAGTTTAATAGTTTATTTATTCTTCATTACACAACATATGTATTAAAATAAAGATAAATTAAATGAAGGTAATTTTAATAAATGTATTATAGCTTTATTTTACTTTATAGTTTAAAAATTTTATTTGTTTCTAAGAAGTCCCTAATTGTATAAAATATTTTTCATATTTTTCTTACATATAATTAAATTGTTATTTTAGGCCTCATAAATATCCAGGAAATATTGTGGAAAAGGATAATGAAATGAAAAAATCTTATCCAACTGGTTGTATTATATGCCGTTGCATGAATACAAAATCTCTCACCTGTGCATATCCTCAAAGACCAAATACTGAAATACCATCCAAAGATTGTATTCTAAGGCCACCTAGATTAAACAGAGTAGAACGATGCAAGCAACAATATGCTGCAGCATCTCCTGTACCTGTAAATCGGAGGTTTCATCGTAAACAATTAAACCGAAAATGGTCTACAGATGATGAATTTTTATCAGAATTATCATTGAACAATAATAACAATAGTAATGAATGTACAAATGTCATACCATGCACTGATGATGTAACTATAGATGAGTTGGCTAGTTATTTTGAAGATCTAGTGCACATTCCTAAAAAAATGTCTGACATGGCTGAACTGATGTATAATTAAATGTACATATGTTGTAGATCATTAATTGGTATTTTGTTTGTTTGTATTTAAGTTTAAACTTCTACTAACTTATAAAGTAATTTTTGTAGTTATCAATTGTTATATACTAATATTTATATGTATACAATTGATAATACTGTTAATAAATACATAAATGTCCATGATCATATTGAAAGACCAATTTATCTATGTAATAATTAACTATTATAGTCTTTTTTTGAATTATTATATGTGTGCAGAAAAGTTAATTACTTAAAGATTAATCTTAATGTAACATACTGGTAGTCAAGTAAGAGTGGCAACAAATTTTTTACTAAATTATTTTGGTTGTACAGTTAAAAAATAAAAATATATAGATATACCTGTTACATTAAAACAATTAATTATTCATTTACATTCACAAAAGTTTAACATTTTAAATTAAATAAATTTTATGTACTCACATGTATTTTTTACTGATTATTTTACTATTAAATTTTAAAACAAAAAATGCACTTTTAATTATTCTATTAGGTAAAGTATACTTAAAATATTGACTTATCAAAAATAATTTAAACAAAATTTTTCTTAATTCGTAATAGAAAAATTATGTTTAACCATTTTTAAATTTTTTTGATTTAAAGGTAGCCAAATAGGTGTATTTCTAGAAAAAAATTACTTAAAACTATTACAACAATAATAACTATTAAGCTATATTATATATAGTTATTGAATTGTGAATACCATGACTTATCTAAAAAGATTTATTAATATCAAAATATTAATTGATCAAATTTTACATGTTGTACTATATTATTAATCATGTATTATAATGTTAGTCTGTTAATATTATTTTATTATTTTTATATAACGTTTCCTTGTACAATATAGACAATTTTCTGAGATACTTATTCAATATATTTTACCATGTAACATAATAAATTATTAGTATTAATTGCATCCAAAATTGTAGTCTATATATTTATAAAACATTGTATTTTCTTTTTAATTCAACAACCAAACAATTTTAAACAAATTAATTATATGTTTGTTTTTAAATTTATATACTTTTATTTAAATTATAAGTTTTATTTGTTTACAAAATATTTTATTGGATATCATTTATTGTGGAAAGGGTAATAATTTGTTTGTATGAATATGTATGAACAGTTATTTGTTTTGTTGGACATATATATGTGATTACTTGTAAGTATGGTTGAACTAGATTTTTAAAATATAAATTTAAAAAATCAATGAATTCTTTTTAATTTCTTAAGTAAATGAAAGTAAACATTTATAACTTCAACGTTCATTGACATTTATTCAAAATATTTCATATCAAAAACTGTAAAGATCTTAAAACAGACTTCTTATAATCATACATTTTATTAATATTGTCTTTATGCGGGTACAATTTGCTTGAATTTAGTCTACTTTATTTTTTACATCTAATCTGTAAACATATATTTTTATTTTTTATTAGTCAAAAAATATATAAATTTCATATAGTTCTAAAATCTATTTTTAAGTAAATCAATTATTTTGTATAAAAAACTTTCAAATCAAAGGATTATTAGTCAAGAGAAGTAATTTTCAGATATTTTTTATTAAATTGTTAAAAAATGGTATTACTTCATTGTGTATTTTTTTTATAAAATTTTTTTTTTTACTTCTTAATGACAGTCATATTTTAATTGTTTAAAGTGAATAAATCGATTACTTTAGTTGTCATCTAGTCATTAATATATTTAGTAAAATTATTCAAAATGTTCAAATCTGATAAGTTTACTTTTGAATAATTCAATTAAAGTGAACGACAATTATCTTTGATAATCAAAATTGGAATTCTGAATGATTGAATACAAGAAGTTAAGTGACATTTTAATTGGTGTTCAATTTTACTCACTATATTTATATTATGGATTATTACAGTTGTCACATATTACGTCAATGTAAACATACAAAACTTCATAAGATTCTTCAGCACGCAAATTAATTTAATATAACGTTATAAATTAGACGAAATAAAAACCATAAAATGTCAATAAATGTATCTTAATAATTATGCAATTATTAGTTCATAAGAAAATAAATCATGTGTTTACAGATAAAAAATATTTTATCTATAGGAGTGTGCAGGGAAAATTATTTATTAAACCAATTTTTTGAACTATTATTCAATCAAAACTTATTAGAATTCATATTTATTTATATTTTCTAACAAAAACCTAATGAAATAAGAAAAAATAAAAATAACAATCACCGATTGTTTGAACAATTTAATTTTTGTACATCACTTTTTGGATTATTTGCACATCCTTTTCCACAACAACCATTGATTGGTCGATAATTTGGTGTCCAAGCTCCTAAACTATTACTGCTATAATAATCCATTGGATAATTTTCTTGGTTGTTGAATTCAATTTGATTCAAAACAACAGCACCTTCATAAGGTGATAAAAATGGTTTGTCAAAAGCTGAACCCCAATCAATGGATAACCGTGGGCACGCAATCTGAATCCAAGCATCAACTGTATCTCTAAAACACGACAGCTTTTGTGGAAATATTTCTGATAGAAGAATAGTGACAGAATTCTTTGAAGACAATCGCATTTGTTCCTGAAAAAAAAAAAGACAATGCAAATTAACTTATATTTTAATAAAAGTAAATGATAAATAAATTAAACATACATGAAAGTAGTCTAACACTTTGATACTTCCTTGTCTACCCAGAGTTCCTAAAATTAAACCAAATACTTGGGCTTCTTTAGCTTTTTCAATTGCTTTTAGTCTTGTATCTTTCATAAGAATATGGTCATAGTATTCTCTAGTCAATTTTCTTTCATATGGATCATACCTACATTAAAAGAATACTACATATAGTGGTTGCATGTATAATTTAGAGAAAAAAATAATTAGACCATGTAATGTGATTTAAATATATTGAAGTTAATTATAAATACATTAGTTTTTTAAGACTGTGAAATATTTGTATTATTTTGATTAGTTGTTATATTTAATAACCCTTATTCTTAAACTGCTCGAAAAAATATATAAAATGAAGAAGGTATTTAAATATATTTAATAATACACATCTTATCTAATAATACATCTTAAAAAAAAAAAAAAATGAGCTTCATCTAAAGAACTTGTTTAATTAAGTTACTAAATTCAATTTTTTTTTACCTGTACGCTGTAAGTTCAGGATTAGCTATCATTATTGATTCTAAATGAAAACGGCCATCACCTAAATATATTAAACAATCAGCATCTGTAACTTTAGGAGATGTACATCCTAAAATTTCTCCTGGTGATAATGGTTTTTCCTGTGGAACTTTTACACTATAACTAAATAGGAAAAAATGTAGGTTTATGGTATTGCACATTATGTTGAAAAATAAATTTTTACAGTTACTAACCCATCTATTTTTAATCGATTTATCAACCCTTGCAAAGTGGTGACGAACTGAACAGTACTTACAAATAATAATCGTTGCTGTTTAGTGAAGTTCAGTTTTACAGTTTCAATGAGATGAATAGCATCAATTTTAATATCAACAAACACATATAATACTTTGACTCCTTCAGTTTGATCAACAGGAATAAGACAGCTATGGCCATAGTGTACTAACAAATCTACTCCAAGAGCTTTTGCAGTAAAATCATCAACACAACAAGCACCATATGTAACATCACCCATAATTACAGTATCTGCTTCAGTAAATTGTTCAATAATATCACATAACTGTACAGCAAACATGGTCAGTCCTTCAGGCATTTGTAATGCAACGCGTTTGGCTTGCATTTGCCGTAATCGCCAAATAGTCTTCGGTAGTTCAAAATTATAATTGGATGGTAATGACTGCATAGCAGCAATCAAGTCTGAATTATTTGTAATTTCATCAGGTATTTTATTCAAAACTTTGGCTGATGGTCTGAACACTTTACGTTCTGTTTTAGCCTTCACTACTACTGCGTTAGACATGGTATTTATTTTATAAAAAACAATATACCATAAATTAAAGTTATTAAATATGCATATTTATTAATTTCTTCGTTTTTTTACAAGTGTAAAAATTAAGATATTAACTGCTTTATGATTCTAATAAATTAAATTTATTCTAAAGACAAATGTACCAAATTAATTTAAAATTTAGAAAAATGTTTTATACTTATATTAAAAACGTGTTAACAAAGTTATTAAAGGTTTATGATTTAAAATATAATTTACATAGTGCGTACCATAAACAAGTACTGCAGTTTATATATATTATCAATTAAAATCAGTTATTATCAAGCATCCTAAAAAAATCATGATAAGTCTTTATCAATAAATAACATTATCCAACATATATCAAATGACCAAATTGTTTAAAATAATGCAGTTCTATAATAGATTCAACAATTGGAGTTTTCTATGTACAAATAGTAACTCATAAAACTTTAGTTAATTTATTCTCCAGAGGATGCGTTAAATTTAAAATTATTCAAAAACTTAAATGCAATAAATACTAAATTTATGATAAAAATAATGAATGTTTTAAATTATGTAATCAGCGACTGTTGTAGTAATTCTAAAATAAAGGATTTCTTAAAAATGGATTTCTCAGTGATTCAAAATTTTCAAAGTAATATTATGTCATGATAAACTTTAATACTTCACAATTTTTATTAATACTTAAGTAATTTGGTTTCCATACTTATAAAATTACCCATAACAAAAGAATATTTCAAAGTCAATTAGTATTGTTTCAATACTTTTAAAAATATCAGGGAAAACTTACCTATTATTAATATGCTAAACTTTATACACCAAATTAATAATCAGTGTTATGAACCCCGATAACAATAGTATAAACATAGACATTATCGCAATTTTTAATGGAGAAATAAGTTTCTTATTTTGCCCAGAGGGAAGCAATATTTTCAGTCCAACTTATGTAGTATAAAATCTTGGCTATAGGTGCTTCATTTAACTTGAACAATATTTTCGATTCTAAAGTAAATTCATCAAGTGCAAATAAATAAATATAAAATTAAAATATTATCAAACAATACAATTATAATATTATAAATCAAGGAACCCATATACATTAATTAAATAATTGAAATAGTGTAATTTATATTATTTTAATTAAATACACATTACATGCCCAATATACTGGGCTTACAATTTTATATTTTAAAATTTAATGTATGTTATGTATTATGTAGTTTTTATAAACTTATTCTCTTGTAATATTTATGTTCTATTTTAACTGGTTCAAACGGATTTAAATTAAAAAAAAAAAAATAAAAAAAAAATTGAACATACTACTGAATTAGTATAATTCTTATTTATTAGTATGTGAAAGTAAATCAATAATAATAAATATATACTTTTTAGATACATGTTCTAATTAATAATTTCGTTGAAGTGAGAACATTTAATTGCAATAATAATAAGATCACAATTTTCACTAAATGAGAATACTTAGTGAATAGATATAATTAATGGATCTTCAAAACTTTATACTTTGTCATCTAAAAAGAAAAAAAATTATAATAATAACTATTTTTGTAATATTTTTATATAATTTGCTTACCATGATACCACCATTTTGTTTTTTTTGGATTTTTGTTGCACGTTTTTACATAAAAACTATTATCTGGAGGTCTTTTCTGTGAAGTATAATTAAGGTATAACACAAATTATTAAAATAAACTTGTACATTTAAAAGGAATAGTTTCAATTATTTAAAAAAAAAAAAAATTGTTTTCATATTCTATATTTAGAATAGGTTCTTTAACTTATGTTTAGTTCCAAATTTCAAATTTGTTTGAATGTAAGTATAATACTTTACAAAAAGTCGAATTAATTCAATTTTATATAATAAAAAATTTACTGTAGTACGTAAATGATGATTTAAAAACTAATAACTCTTGAGACGATGATTAAGTAATATAATAGATTTAAAATAATTAATAATTTTAAACACAATTTTCATGAAATTACCTTTTCTTTGCAACTGCTTAGCATAGATATAATTGATAGACAAACAGATTGAACTGATAGTGCAGGTGACCAATCATCAGTAAGAATAGACAAACAAATGTGTCCATTACTATACACATGTGGGTGAACTGGAATGTTTTGGCCCACAAATGTAACCTTAATAGAACAATAATTAATCAAAATTTAACTTAATGTTAAAACAACTCAATTATAATTTATAGGTGAAGTATTGAAAAGTTTACTTCAGGCGACTCAAAAGGGTAACTGGAACCAAATTTGAATTGCAATTGGAATAGTTCTCCATCATATAAAGTACCTTCAGCACCTTGCATATTTATAGTCCATCTAAAAAAATGTAATTAAATATGGTTAAATAATATTTATGGTGTATTATTAAGCAAAAATATTTAACTGTAAATTAAACAGGTATTATAAAGTTAAATACAAATACTAGTTGAAATAAAAATCAATAAAATGATTGAAAATTTTTTACTAACGTGTTAAGATTTTGTTCAGCTTGATCTGCATCAACAATCATTCCTGGGGGAGGCTCTTTAACAAGAGATATTAGTTCCTTGTGAAGTCTTTTCTGTATCAAAAGTAAAAATGATTGTTTTCAAGTTGTTATTTAACCACATGCGATATATAACAATACAGCGATTTAGGTACATACTTCAGATGGAGTTTTTCCTGCCATTTTATAATTATCTCTAGTTATAACAGTAGATGATTTTAAGTATATTGTAAACAATGCATAGTGTTTGTAATAATGAACTGACTAGTTAAATTAATTAAAGTATAGATTTCGTCATTTTGTAGTATTTGTGTAACATCAAGAAATTATTTCTAAAATTAAAATCTACATGTAATTACCAGAGAATCGTTCTCTCGGCAATGACAATAGTGGCACCAGTAACAATAATAATATAATTGAATCGTTATAGTATTATTAATTATCCGAAAAACGAACCATCGCGCTCGGGACAATAACAATAGGGTTTCCAGTCTCTTATCATTAACATAGTAATTCTAGTCCGAACAGTTTGTAGTTGTGGATTCGTGAGACCGATGACACAAGCCAGCTGATTGATTGCACAATGGAGGAATAAAACGATTTGAGAATTCAAATTTTTCGCGTCAAATTGGAACGTCGTGGTTAGGCGGCGGTGGACATAATCGTGCGGGAAAAATTACAAGATTTCTGTTGCGTTTCACCCCTAAGGGTTAATCGTTGTTTATAGTCAATATTCGTCGTGGCTAAGCGGCACGCGATCCTTTCGGAGCGGGCGGTCAGAACCGGGGGATCGATCGATTATCACGAAACGTCGTTTGAGTTTTTTTTTCCTCCATGGCCGTACAGATTTTTCTCACATAATCAATTTGATCGCGCGATACTGGACGGACCCACCACTCCGCCGCCGAACCCGTTTGCCACGATACTTCATCATCGATTGCCGGGGGCGGCGCGTGTGTACGAGAGACTTGCGTGCGTGTGTGTCCACTGTTCAGTGCCCTCGCTGTTCATATGGTTCTTGTGCGCCGGATTGTTGTACAAAGATCAGTACAAGACCACACGACGATGAAATAACTCCGATCAATCCGCGCGCAACGACATCGCTGAAGCCAAGCAACACACACATTCAACGTCCGTCCGTTCCCGAAGAATTTGGCTCTTCTTGTTCGACCGATAACCATTGCCCGGAACACCAAACATACCCGAGGTGAGTACATGTCGTAATCGATTCGTTTTGTTGCTGCGCGTTTGATGACAATAGCTGTTCTATCGTATTGCAATCGTTGTCGCCCGGCACCCCATACATGGTTGCTCCGCTCGTGCCTACCCCCTAACGAGTGGGTCTTCGGGGCTTCAAAGAACAAACTGTGAATTTCTATCGAGCACCTACTTTCTACGTGTTTCATGACACCGTTCACAGACGCGCGATCTTGCTTAACCATTATTGTGTTGTCATTTATTTATAAATTATTCCTCACTTTAGATTGACATTTTCTTTTATTAGTTTGACCTCTGCACTAAGATTTCAGTCGAATAACAATTGGACACTATAATATCGCGGTGATACATTTCACAATTTAATCGAAACATATAAATATCGCGAATGTCAAATTAATAAAACTTATACAAGACCTATAAAAGTGACTGATTAGACATGACTCTTTTATCATATTATGTAGTTTATTTTTTCATCGATGACAAAATGCTATTTTTCTAGAGTTAGTTCAAAATTGATGTCGGCCACTTTTTATATTTTTATATTCAAAAATCTAATTAATCAATTTGTATTTTATGCCTATTATTAATAGTTCTAACATTTAACTAGTATACCTACGCTAAATATCTACCTAATTATAAGTCCATCTAAATTAATTGTCTGATTTAAATTGCTGTAACGAAATAAATGTTAACGTTTTTTAATTGATAAAGTACATTTGATCAAAAAAAAAATTGGGCTAAAAATATTTTGATTATCAAACCGTTTAAAATAGCTTTCTTGATCCTATACTTTTTATTGTAACATTTAATAAATATTTAAACATATTGTGAAATTATCTCGTGCGAGTCTGATATTATGGCGTGATCAGTGAGTGATTGATTTGTTCGTATGAATACAATTGCTTTTAATGGTAGGGATTCTAGTTTTAATAATTTTTATATTGTTGATAAATATAATGTTATGAATTGTGGTATTATTATGCCACTAATACCATGTTTTTATTACATTAAATCTGTAGATCTAATTATAAATAATTAATTAAAATATATCAAATTAAGAAATTTACAAATTACAAAATTGCAGTACGAGTAAATAATTAAAATTATTTTATACTGTTAAAATATAATAAGTATAAATTAATATTACATTTTAACCCTTTCAGACCCAAATTAATTTCCTATGGAGTTCAAATTTTTTGTGAAATATTTATTTTATTGTGGACTATAATAAGAATAAAATATTTTTGTAAAAATGTATTTAGTTTTTGACGACTTTGGGATTATGTCCTCTATAAGGGACATTGAGTCTGAATGGTTACAAAAAATTAAAATTAAATTAAATTTTAAAATGTTTCAATAAGTATAGCAATTGATTAAAAATTAATATTTTTATTCATAATTACAATAAAATAACATGAAATCCCTGGGTATAAAAAAGAATAATATAAATATATAAAAATAATGTTTTTATTGATGAAAATTTAAAAAACAATTTGTTGCACTATTGAAACATAAATGGATATATTATTTATTTAATAATTGTTATTGTTCTTCACTTTCAAATAGTTCACCTGTTTCTTCGTCCGAAAAATCCAATTTTGATTGACACATTACCATCCCCCAATATTAAAAAATGTCATGGTCACGTAACCCCCTAGCCATTTTGAATAAAGTAAATAATAAAATATATTATATAATATTTTAATACTTTATATTATTATAATACCGTAAAAGCATAAATTAATACATGTAATATAGGATGGGAAATATAATCTGTATCGTAACGACACCAGTACACTGACGAGTGATTACGAAATCACGAATGCTACGAACGTTCCGACCCAATGTCCTTTATAAGAGACACAATATAATACATTCGATAAAATTGGTTATATCAAACATAATACAGTAGAAATTAGTTCAAAACACTCTTATGATAGTTGCTGAAATAAGAAAAAAACCTAAACCAAGTAATTATCATTATCGTTTAATTCTCTATAGACATTAATACACCTATACCAATTCCGTGAAAATAATAACTATTAAATATTATAAAATAACTATATCTATAATTCTAGAAATTCCAATCTCACATTATTTATAAAACTATTTTTGGATTCTTAAGTACATTTCCTATAAATTCAATGTATAATTGAAGACAATTCATTATCACAGCAAAATAGTGTTAAATTAAATATTGTTGTTTCATATAGAGGACACTGAGTCCGAAAGAGTTAAATAAATTATTAATTTAAATCATTTAATTTTGTTGAATATTCTTACATATAAATATATATATATATATGTGAATATAAAAACTAGTTATTGATATTACTTTATTAATACCCTCCCTATGGTTCTAATAAATATAAAAATAATAAAAATAAATGGAATTTATCAAATTATATTAGTTGGAAATAGAGAAATTTTTTAATGTGTATTTTGCTTATAATACTTGGCTTTTAAAAACTGATTATTAATAAGCACATGATTACATAAGATGATTATAAATACTAATGGTTTTTATTTTATTATGTATATATAAAACCTTTTAATTTTGGTGTATTAACTATTATGAATTTTAATTTAATAGTACAAAGTTTAAATTAATTAAATGAAAAGTAAAGAAGACAACTATTTTTCTAGTCCATACTTTAAATTATACTCAATAATTGAACTTGATATAACTTGATCTACTTAAAAGAAAAAAGAAAAATGTTTTATATACATTTAGACGTGTAAATAATTTATAGAATTACAAGTATATTATTGATAAATTTTAATCTAAAATCATGAAGTAAAAACTAAAATCAAATCAAGTAACACTAAATTAGACATACTAACATGCATTTTTTAAATAATTTTTACATTAGAAGACATTGGTGTGATTTAATTTAGGCTAATTCGTGAACGCCGATACTGGAGGTATACTTCCTTCATCATGAAAATCTGGACAGTTCAACATACATTTAACTATCCATGGGAGACAGTAGTTCAAGCAGCATGGAACAAGTATCCAAATCCAATGAATACAGCTGTCCTAGGCATAGATGTTATTGATCGGCAAGTAATAAATGGAGAACTACATTCACATCGGTTAGTAACTACCAGATGGACATTGCCAAATTGGGCATGTGCATTGATGGGTCCAATTAGTACATTTTATGCCAGTGAGTATTCTAAAGTTAATCGCGACCGACGACAATTAAAATTAGATAGTCGAAACTTATCATTGGGACCATTCGTCGTAGTTCGAGAGAAGCTTACTTATAAACCACATCCTGATGATCCACAAAAAACTTTACTCAAACAAACAGCTTATGTCACTGTAGAAGGATTACCATGTAGTGGATATATAGAGAATATACTTACCAATAAAATTTCAGGCAATGCTGCTAAAGGACGGCAAGCTATCGAATGGGTCATTGAAAAACTACAGCATAAACAACCATTATAATTATAAACATTGTTATATAGACCTCCTTTTTTTTCATCTTGTTGTCAAATTGAATTTATGGTTGTACCATTTGGCCATTAAATTACAAATATCCTAATTTATGTAAAATTATTAATTTTTCTGTATTATAATATAAAATAAAATGGGATGTGTTTGTAATAATTGTATTAAAATGTAGAACGATAATAAAATAAAAACTTTTATTAACTTGATTTTTATCTTTTTATTTTCAGTTTTTGTTGATGTAATTTATTTTTTGTATTTATGAGTATAATAATTAAAAAGTGAAAAATAATATGTTGGAGAAAAGTAAATAATTTAATTTCACCTAATTTTAATTGTTGCTGTACATTTTTAATAAATCCATATCTCTGGATTATCAAGGATATTAAGTATTTCTTACAAATATTTTAGTATTATTTATATGTTATTATTTTACTTCGTGTATTACATTTTATATAATGATTATAACTATTAACAGTGTAAATTCAAGGTTTAATAGTTTTCGTTAATAAGTATAATTTGTACACAAAAATTTGCAAAAAAAAAATGTATAGTGTATGTAATAACTAGGTATATAGAATGAAATAATTTTTCTATTTTCTTATTAGTATAATAAACTTAATAAAAAAATAACTATTAATTATATAATTATTAAATATGACATAAAATGTACTATTTTTAATAGTTATCCTGCTCTACAGTGGTTTAATACAACCACTTATTAAACTAATTATGAAATATATACAATTTATACAAATGATAATGGAGTGGCTTATTACAATAAGAAGGTCAATGCTAATTTGTTTTTACCATTACTGATCTATACCAAGCCAATGTTAGACCTCTTCCTCTAGGCAAAAACAATTGTTTAAAGATAAAATTTTGCTCCCTCCCATCATTTTTGCTGAAGAGAAATTTAAAACTACAACATCCTTACTTTACAAAAGCATAAAAAAAAAATGTTAAAATTTGATCAACTTGATTGTTGTAAAATAAAAATAAATTATATGTACTATATCATACAGGTTTGAACCTGACCCCCAGAGGTTTTGCTTGCTGGGTGTTATAACCATATTAGAGAAGGAACCATCAGCTTCCAATTCTTTAAAATAATGTGTAGAGTAATGACTATGTCAACATAGTGGGCTGTTATGTATAACTGTAATTATGTATAAGTAATTGTACATTAAAAATCACTCGATCTATCCCTGTCAATTGAGTTCAATTAATTTTTCAGTGGAGAAAAAAAACATATGCGTATATATTAACAAACAAAATGGAATTTAATGAAGATAATATGATGGTTTGGTTTCAGTCGTGTAAGATACATATACTATGGACAACGAAAAGGACATAGAGAGCAGCCAATCAATAAATGACAATAACACGGAGGATATTATTCAACCAGATTTGCTGTGCCATCATACTTATGCTGTTGATTCTCAAGTGGCAAGTAATTCCAATTTAGTCATAAACCACTCATTGTCATTTAGTCATGCTTCTTGTGAACGATCTAAAACACAAGAAGAAGAATGTGCTTTTTTAACAAATAATCTCCAAAGTGTTCATTTGACACGTGACAATCCATTATCTCTTAACCTGCCATCACGACAGCGTCGATTGATACCAGTCAATAATAAAGTTAATGATTATGACTATGAATCAAGTTCTGGTAGTGAATTCAGTGATGATCCTGACAGGTTCTTAAATGTTGATCTTGAAACTAAACCAATACCTGAGTTAACAGCTGAAGAAGAGTTAAAAGAAGAACGAAATTGGAAATCATGTACGGTAACTGGAGTTGTTAGTAAGATTGATATGAAAGTAATAGAGCCTTATAAATGTGTTCTATCACATGGTGGTTATATGACAACTGGTTCACATAATGCTATTATTGTATTTAGTGCATGCTATTTACCACATCGTAATCGAGTAGACTACAATTATGTTATGAACAATTTATTTGCATATGTTATTTCAACTTTAGACCAATTGGTTACAGAAGATTATGTTCTGGTATATTTGCAAGGGGGTACGTCTAAAGATTGTGTTCCTGGTTTTTCTTGGCTTAAACGTTGTTACAAAATGATTGATAGAAAGTTAAGGAAGAACTTGAAATTTTTGTATTTAGTTCACCCAACATTTTGGTTAAAAACTCTTGTATTGATGATTAAACCATTTGTTAGCTCCAAATTTGGCAACAAGATTCATTTTGTCAACAGCTTGGATGAACTCTACGAATATGTTCCAGTTGAAAAAGCCAGTATACCTGACAGGGTGAAACAATTTGATGGTGCAAAATCAAATTCTAATTAGTAGGAATATTTTATCTCTATTATTTATTATTTTATCTAGCATACTATTATAAGTTTGAATAAGTAATGAAGTCCAGGAACATGACTGTATTAATTAATTTATTAATATTAATATTTATTTTGTTGATTATCTTGATAAAATTTCAATAGTAATTTTTATTAATTTAGTTTATTTATAATAATATACATTTAATTTATTATTTGTTGATCAAATCGTAATTTTTTAATTTTATATTTAGGTGAGAAAACATTTTTTTACTCTTGCTATTCTTCAATACTATATATGATAGGACTATAATATCAGTAAGGATATACTATTTTATCCTTTTAAAGTTAACAGGTTGGTAATATGTTTAAGTAATTTTATTTTATTTATTAAATAATTATTTAATTATTTTATTAAATTATATTAATTTATTTTAAAATAAAATTATATTTATTTATTTTGTATTCATGCATTACAATATAAATCAACATAAAACTGATTAAATATGCTGTTTTTCAAAAATTTAACAGATTGTCTTACCAAGCATTATAATTATTTTGCATTCCACCTAATCGATGAGAATTAATTTCATACATCAAGTTTTTGATTTTTACATACATTTTACTTTTACATTTATTACATAAATTTCTTATTCTTTTTCATTCTTTACCTGTTTCTTATTAAAATTTAAAATTTCGAATTTGATTATTATTATCTTGTGTAGTAACTTATAAAAAAATGGAAGAAAATTGATTCATTAAATACATTATAGTACTATTTTATTTAATATTATATAATTTCTATATTCAAAATTATAAAAAGTAAATGAGATAATAGCATGGATAAAATCATATTTAATTAAATCATGTTCCTGGGTTTATAATACTTTTAATAGGTAACAAAATGTATTGATATACTCTAATTAAATATTAAATGTATTTAAATGTCTAGTCTTATTTATTTTTCTTTAAATGCCATGTTTTAGTTTATGTTTATTTTTTTGGAATTTTTAATCCTAGTTAATATATTTTATTTATAATTTCTGTTTTGTTGTCAATCACTCTTAAATTAATGTTTTAATTATATTATTTGTCGTGTTGTAAAGTTCATTAATATTAATTCTGCTCACTATATTTCAATAATATATTTTAGTTTATATTTAAATTTAATTTGAATTGAGACTATCATAGGTGCCTATAATAAGTAATAACTATATGTTATAAGAATTAAAAAGAGAGGAAAAAGACATTGCACATTTATAACTAATCATTTGGTCTTAAACATTTAACTATGTAAAGTATCAAAATTATATTTTACTAAAAATGCAATATTTATAAGCTTTTGCATAGTTTAATCATAAATATACATATATGTAGTTATTATTTGTTAAATATTATAACATAAAACTTATTAACTAGGATTTTTATTACTAAAGTAATTTTAAATTATTCTTCTTTAGTAGTATTTTTTATTAATTTATCTTGTATACTGTGTTTTATTGTAATAATTTGATTTTTATATTTAACTATTTAGATTATGCAAAAAAGACTGTTATTATTGCTGAAAAACAGTATTTATTTTATTAAATTATAACAGCTACTATACTATTTAAAACAATACAATTTTTAAAAAATTCTGTTTTTGAATTTTGGAATAAAAAACATTTTACTTACGTTTTACAATTTTTTTTTTAATTTAAGAAAAAAATACAATTTGTGTGCATTAAGAATAAGAAATTAAATACATCAGGTAAAAAATTATTATTAAAAGTAAGATAGAATATATTAATACTATATAGAAATAGGTGAAATCCTGGAAAGTTATTTAATATTCATAAATTTATTCATACTTTTGTATTATCATAGTACTATATATTTATGTATTATTATTAAGTTATTTCATATAACTAAAATGAAAATAATCATTGTGATAAATTCCAGATACCTACTGCTAATTGCAAAAAAGTATTCTACAATGCTATTAATTGCTACTTAATATTTTGTTATAGTTTGTTCATTTATTAACTTTTTAATAATGAAATTATTATTCTGTTTTAACTTAAATCATATTAGTTTATTGCAATGTAGCCATTTATAAGACAAACCTTGAACTTAATTATTCAAATAATTTTTTTTAACAATAATGGATAGATAAAGTAAAGGTAATATTTATTTAAATACAGTAGGCTATCATTTATATAATGTCAATATAAAATCTATAATATTATTATAGATCTTGTATTTAATATGTCTGAAAATATTTATTAAGTACTTATTTTAGAGAACTACGTTTTTATAGTGTTTTTTTTTTTTTAGAATACAATCTGTGGCTTTTATGGCCATTGGACATTACAATGTATCACTTAGTGACTTAATGTTGTCTTAATATCATCAAGCTCAATTTTTAACAGAAACACACTTTATCAATCTCCTGTAACCAACCTCATCATTAACCTTCCACCCAAAAAAAAAAAATAGTGTTTTATTTTATGAATAATACTATATAATTCTTCACACTAAATCTACAGGGGACAAATATACATATAACATATAAATCATACAAATTCACTATATATTTTTCATTTCCTGCAATTGTTTTGTTTAAAATACAACTTCCATGGATTTTTTTGATTAAATTAAGTGGCTTATAATCATATATTTATTTTTTTGAGTGTTAAAATAACTTAAAAAAAGTGTTAAAAAAGCAGTACGCTCAAATTAATGTGTACCTCTATTTGTAATCTTTTCTGTGAAATATTTGAAAACAAATTCAACATGTACCCACATGTATATTGTTTACCTACTATGTGTAACAAAATAACATTATTAGATTAATATTGATATTATTTGTACTTTATATTTGGTGGCTCACTCTAAGATAATTGTTTACTAAAGTGGTTTACCGAGGAAATAAGGTTCTACACCAATGTAAGATATTCCTTACCTCTCTTACACATTAGAGATCAACATAAAACTGACCATCTAATAGGTACATACCTATTATAATAAATTATATTATAATAAACATTTATGTTTTTATATAGTAAAAAAAAGTTTTAATAATAACAATTAAATACTTAAAATATACAAGTAATTAAATTTGTTATTAGTTCTTTAACTTATATTTCTTTAACATAATATTAATATAAAGGTAAAACAAATGATAAATATTTAATGATATCAAAAAAATATTTGAAAAATAAACACTGCCAGTTTAAAAGTTTTCATTGAATTTTGATCACAAACAAGGTACTATTTATTTTTACAAAAAAAGGTATTTTAAATTCTTAACATAGTAAATAATAACTCAGTACATATAAAGTTATAGTTTATTTTTTGAGGGATTGTAAATAAAGCCCTAGGCTTTTCTGAACTTCTGCTGATTGCAGATATGTTACAACAAAATCAAGATCTTTTTGTTTATTATCAATCAACCATTGAACAGTTGATTGGCGAGTAATATCTTTAGTCATTTTATACGCCCAAGCTGTAAATGATTTAAAATTGTTTTTAATCTTTCGGGCTTGACTAAGTATAATATTAGAATACTACTCACGAGATATCCTTTGAAAATTATTTAAAAATAGATTTCCTTGAGTTAAAGCTGTATTTACATCTGGAACACTTTCATCAATTAAACCAATATGTAATGCTTCATCAGTCGTATACATTTTTCCAGTGGTTAATGATATTTCAGCTTTTCTTTGACCAATAACTGCAACCATAGTATCTATAAACCTAGAATTGTAAGAAATATGATAACACTGTATACAGATATGTATAAATAATGCATAAATCAATATTTTAAATATAAATTACCATTTAGGAGCAACAATTCCTAATTTAGTCTCATTAAGCCCAATAGTATATTTTGGTCCAACCATAATTCTATAATCGCAACTCATGGCGAACAAACATCCCCCTGCTGGGCTATGACCCTTTATATTATTTTATAAAATTCAAGAGATTAGATTAATTTATAACAAAAAATAATATTTTAATATTTATTGTCCATTTAAAAATAAATTTAAATAACTCAAAATTAACTTACATTTATAATAGCTGCAGTAGGAAATGGAGTCTTATAGAGAGTGAGCCATGTATCTTGTAAAGTAGACCAAAATTTTGATAATCTATCAGGATTTGGATTATAAAATTCTGTTATATCTAATCCTGCTGAAAATATTTTTTGTAAACCCTGAAATAAATTATTTAATTACATTGTATAATAAGTAAATTATAATTTACAATTAAAAATTAATTGCATGAAGTATTTGAATTTTCAAAATTTAGTAAAAATATAATACATACTGATGTTAACATCATTCCTTTAACTTTATCTTTTTCTAATTTATTAAGTTCAGTTTTAATTTCATCTAGAAACTCAAGATTTAAACTATTGACAGGGGATTTATTCATTGTCACTGTGGCTATGCCTGTATACATAAAAATACATTTTTTTTTAAATAAAACAAGTAAAAAAAAATTCCTTAGATATTACCTGATTTTTCGTCAACCGTAGTTTGAACCATGGACTGAGAAGCATAACGACAATTAATAAAAGTATTATTTCTAGATAAAATTAATCTTCTCAACATTGTAAAGTATAAAAATCAAATTATATTGTATATAATATTAAATAAGATTATTTGTAATTAATGAATTTTATACTTTTTAAGAAAATTTAAAAATAAACGTATAAGTGTTTAGAGTATAAAAGAATCTTTACTTTCGAGATATACCATCAATGTTAAAACTAAATTATTAAATTAATTTTTTACTGATGAGTGAAAACATGGTAGATCATAATGATAAATATTAAATTTGATCAAGTTCGTGGCACGAGTTATCTAATTTATAAAAACAACTGTTTAACGTTATCAGCAAACAACAAGTTATTTACATCAAAGTGAATTCACACCTCAGATATATATTATATATTTTTAATTTATTTTTTCTATCAAACTTATTTTTTTAAATGTTAGTTGTTATTCATGGGAGCATTAAATTCATAAATTATCAAACTAAAATAAAAATAAATTAAATTCCAGACAATGATGCCAATTATGGTGGGTAGAGATATTAGGATGGTCAACCCATGTCAGAATTTTTGTCAAAAATGCTATAGAAAATTAAAAATTCGTCTACAAATAATTTAATATTTCTTGTCAATAATAATTCATAATACCTACAAGATTTCAATGTTTTTTACACACATATTTATATAATGTATCATATACCATGAATTGTACTTTACAAGTTATTATAAATATGGCTTAGACTAAATAATACCATTGATTAAAGAATAAATTTATTCGATAATTAATGGTATAATACATTTCACAAAATATAAATCACAACACCTTATACATAATACATTAAAATTATATTTGATGAGCTTGATTTATTATACATAATAATGATACAAATATAATTTTTTACACAATATATTTAATTAAATAATAAAAATGTATAAACTTATCAAATTGCTATACCTATATAGTTGTTAGATTTTAATAAATGAATAGTAGTTATAGTTATAGTTTTATAATATCATTTGCATAATATAAAATTATTGAACAATGTCGTTAAACAAATAAGATTTCCTTGATTTTTCATTTCCTGTGAAACAATTTCCAATTAAAAATTGTTTGTTAATTTCAGATAAATTCTGAACAGCACTTTGATACATTCTTTCTGATATTTGTATTTCTGTGATAAAATAATTATTCCTCCATTGGTCAACAAATTCAGAAGATGTATGCCAAATAATACTTGAGCAATTTCTTCGATCAAGTGAAAGGACATTTTTACAGTTAGGATTAAAAGCAATGGCAAATTCATTTTTTTTTATAATTTTCATTAATATATGATGATTTAAATTCTTAGAATCTTTATATTTCATTATAACATGTGAAATTGGTCCAAGCATTTTTTTAATAATATCATCTACTAAAATAACAAAACAATCAAATGATGAAGCATATGTTTGTACATCACAATTTTCGAACATAATATTGATTGAATCCAACCAAAATCTTAATCCATAATCATCACAAATGCCTAGACACAAATTACAATTTTCACACTTAATGGAATTGGATAAAATCTGATGTTTGTCTCTAATATAAATTGATACTTTGTCATAGTAGCAGTCCTCGTCTTGAGGTCGGAACACTAAGTTATCTGTTCCTCCGTGGCAAAACATATGATCAACTTCAAATAATTCTACAGGTAAGACTCTACGAATACTAAATGGTTTACTATTAAATACTTGTTGACATGAGCAACAAATAATGTTGACTTCTTCAGAATTTTTTACTTTGGGCATGTATTCAGGCGTGAATGAGAAGCAAGATGATTCAGTTTCGGGGCAACTATTTAATTGAGCTCGAAACAACAGTTTATTGCCATAAACTTTAATGTCTCTAACATCATTTTCTTCAAAAGTATATTCTTTAACATTTAAAATGTACGTATTCTTTTCTGCTAATGTAATTGTAATTGATTTTAGATGGATTTCGATGTCATAGTCAATAGGTACATTGTCAGAAAACGTTATATAAACTTGACATGACAATACGTATATTTCGAATTCGATACATACATGTTTAATATGCATTTTAGTTCATTAAGCAACTAAAAGTAAAACGGAAACTAAACTAATATTTAACGTTAAACAAAAATTATATCTATAACAAAAAAACGTTGATAATTCAAATGACTTATTTTCGCAATTCTCAAAATGTTTAAAAAAAAAAAAACAAAACATCATGAATGACTGGTTAAAAACCTTAACCTCATTTATTAAATTCTATACAGAATATATATATACCCTGGCCATCTGATTTATAATAGCTTTGTAAACATTTCCCTGATTATATTATCAGAAAATTATTTGCTTCAGACATAGATAATAGAAGGTTAATTATTTAAATATAACGTACGTTTTTAATTTTGCAGTTAAGTTTTTACGTACACCGTGGAGCCGTAAAATCTGTGAACAATCCAAGTACAGGGGGCGCAATTTTAATGAAAAAACTTGGAGTGCTAAAGCCCCTCTATCATTTTCATGTTTCTTTATGGTTGTTGGTACCTGCAACCCGTACAATTCAACAATTACTAAAATATTTCTGAATTTAAATAATTTTAAAATTATTATTTACTTTTATTTTTTATGTTTATTACACGTATAACTTATTACCCTTCTGTATATACAATTGTTTCATCACATGATCAGTTCAAGATTTTGAGTGAAGGGAAGGTCTTATAAATAACAATTTATCTTAAACTTCACATTCGATTTAAGATATTGTATAACATTTTTTATGTATTTATTCTTCAAGAAAATAATAGGCCTAGCTGAACACAGTGATGGTTTTGAGGGTAAGGCAAGTGAGGCGGTGTCTCACTTAAAAAATTAATAAGAGGAATATGTTTTTTTAGCAAATTAGACATTAGTAACTATCAGTGGCACACGCAGGGGGGGTTAAGTGGTTGTAACCCCCTCCCCCCCCGAAATTTTCTCCGATGTCAAGGTTAAAATTTACAAATTTTACAAGTTTGAAATATGAAGAGCTAGTATTGAACATAGAATAGATTATTCTAATAGTCTATTCTATTATCAATGCTATTATTTAAGTCAAAATATATTAAGGATATTATAAGGATTTACATAATTTTGTTAATTGTAAAATGCGTTATATTTTTACCAAAAAAACTGTTTCCTATTTGTGTGCGTTGTTAATTTTATAAAAGTCTTATTGGTTCTTGTACGCAAAGCTATAATGATTAGCGATAATATATTGTTGTTATTTACTACTATACTGTAAAGTATATAATAGTACATGTGACTTGTCACTGTGTTACATTCTGGAACTTTGGATCCTATAAATGATCCAGTAATGATATACTTGAAACGCCTTTTAGGCGTTGAAATAATATTCATAAAAATGATTTGATTAGAGAAGGCAAGCCAACTCCTTTTTTGTCGTGCCAATCACTTGACAAAAATGGTGGCAAAGATTTTGTCGACTGTTTAATCCTGCGTGGTATGATTGTGGAAGCTATTACAAACAAGCGTTATTTTGTTGGCCGTGTACATTTTTAGGTCAATCAAAATCTGTCTGATTGACAGTTGGTTATTGTGATCTTAAAAACTTGTCTCGTAGTGTAAAATGTCATGAGTCATCAAAAGAACATATTCACAGCTACTTGGGGATTAAACATTTAGAAAACAATAGTGTTACAATTTTAATGTTATAATTTTTGTATATATGTATGTTAATATTTAGTCACCCCAGTCAAAATTGAATCTCAAAACTGCCACTCTGAACATGCATAATATATATAAATAATTAAATTAACTGCATAAATTATATCAATAATAATTGTTTTTAAATTTAAATTAAGGCGGTAATCAAATCAGCAATGATAAAATAATGATAAGGTATTATAAATATTTGGACCAATCACAGCACAGAATGTGAAAATGGGTAAACACGCGTTGAATTCAGAAATAGCTACTTCCTATTTTGATATTTTATGATGCCGGTATTGTATCTAATCTAAAAGAAAGATGAAAGGCGTTGGAAACGCCGTGTTGTACCGGTCTAAAAAAGACATTGATCGACACGTGCAAGAGTTGTTTAACAAGCTAAACAACAACGAACATGAGGTTTGTAGGTCAATAGTTATTTATTTATGTCTAACAAGTTGGCGCATAACTAGTCGATCATATCCATACTCTAATGAAAAGAGCAAATGTGACTTGTCTAAATTTGCGATTGTGATACTGTTTTTAATTTTCTTTAATGACCACCATACTTTTTAAGTCTTTTATTGTTATCATATTTTTTATTTATGTATACATCTATTTTTATTTTTGGTAAATCATTCATGTTATACATACACTCATACAGTTCCGAGAAAAAAAAATGAGGGTAATTGCTAAATACATTTTTTAAGTTGCTCTTGCTAATGGAGGAAAAAAATAAGGTAATATGAAGTATGTAGATGATGCATACATAATTGTCACAACTAAAACTAGGTAAATATATTAGAAGCCATATGGCAAGACCTACAACAAATAATGAGACAACTTACAAAATGGAATACCAATTGGTCATCCAAATATCAATGAGTAGATCATTTAGAATGACCTTATTTTCCTAGGAATAAAAAATTGTGAACTATGGCTTCTTACAGAGACTTTTAGAGGAGAGGTGTAGTGATTCTACCAGATCTGAATGGTCTATATTAAAAATCAAGCAAACAAGTAGTTTTAATACTTTTAAATTTAAATTTGTTATAGGTAAATTAAGATAATTTTATTTCTTGTTATTATTGCATTAATAAAGATATTTTACTGGTCCTGCACTCATTGAACGACAGTCATAAAAGCACAGATCTCTATTTTCCTTTTATACTGTTCGTTATTGCCCAGCAGCAAAACCTATAATCAACCATTTCATTAAAATTGTTTGAAAATTATAAAATCTCTATAAAATAATTATACACTGATGATACATTTTATTATTAGATCATCTCATCAAACTGGAAACATAAACTCACGTTTTTTTTATATATTAATTACATCATAGATTCCAGCATTAGTCTATTAATTAAACAATAACAATTTTGTTTAGGTAATATTGAACTTTATGTATTAACAGATTCACATAGTAAAATATTAAATTTTTTCTTTAAAATTGCAGAAAAAACTTAAAGGATTAGCTATTGCTCGTATGTATTTTAAAGTTGCTGAATTTGAATTGGCAAAAGAATATGTTATTACTTTTTTGAGTGCAAATGAGAACTCGCCTGAAGGACAACGTTTGCTTGGTCATTGTTATAATAGACTTGGAAATAAAGAAAAAGCTATTATTGAGTATCAAAAATCATTGACTTCATCACCGAATCAACCGGAATTACTATTATCATGTAATTTTATTCAAAAATCTAAATTATTTTAATATTAATTTACTGTATTTTTATAATGTAAAATAATTGATTTAGGTTGTGAGTTAATGATCGATTCATCTGTTAAATTAAATGAAGTTCAAGCTGAAAAAATATGTAAGCAGACAGAAGATTTATATCCTTATCATCCATTAGTTTATAAACTAAAGGATCGTTTATTGTCATCTAATGAAAATTATGATCTTTCTAAAATAGAGAATTTACTCAATGGTATGATTATATATCCATACTTGTATATTTTTCATTTAAAAAAAATTGTTGTTTCATTAATTTCTAGCTGAAATATCTGTTAAACCAGATGATATGAATCTTAAGATAAAACAGTTAAAATTATATGAAAATTCTGGACGTTTGTCTGAAGCTTTTTCATATGCAATAAATATTGAAAAAACTTCTAACTTTCAAAAAAATAATGTTGAATGGTATGAAGCTATTTCTCAGATATGTGAAGTAAGTATTATTCATAATCACTATGTTTAGTAATTTTTTTAATTTTTATTTAAAATTAAATTAACAGGCCTACGAAACTTCAAATTCTGTAACTTGGGAATTCTATTCAAGAGTATTACCAATTTTTGAGCGTAATGCTTCTTTATTTATCATGGAAACAAAAACTAGCAAACAAAAAAGTATATCTGATTGTTATAAATCTCTTTTTAGGTAAATATTGACTCTATTTTTTAATATTTTGTAATTTAAAATAATCATTTTATTTTTATTTAGACTTGATCAGACTTTATATAAAGCTATACAATTATCATCACCTCAGACAGAATTTTATAGAAGCCTTATACAGCATATATCAAATCAATTTTATTTTCATTTAGCTAGTGTTCTGATGAAATCAGCTAAAAAAGTAATTAATTACATTTTTATTTTTTTTTATTTTAGATAATAAATCTATGTAATAAAAATATTAAGTTACAATTATGGTGTTTTATTTTTTTTGTATTTTTAGGAAAATTCATTATCTTGGAATAAGAGTAACCAATTGGCTGCACCGTTATTTTTAATGTCTTTAGCTCCTTCAATAAATAAACAAGCATTTGAGAGTATATCCAATAAAGAATTCAGTATGGAACAAAAGTCAAATGTTATGTTATGGGAATTGCAAGGTACTAAGAGAATAATTGAAAGTGGCTTCGTTTTACGTGCTATGATGGCTAGGGAAGATGATAATTTTATTGACAATATTAAATTATTGTGTATTAATGATTGGAAGATTACAAATTACAAGGTATTTTTATTTGTAACAACATATAGGTATAATCTCTCTTTTTTTTTTTTTTATTTGGAAAATTGCTTCATAATGTATTGGAGCATATTAGCTGTTATTACTAGAATGTGGATTTATATGTATTTAAAATTAAAAAATATGTGCATAAAATATATGTATTTAATTTTATCTAAATATGTAATTAAAATTTCAAGATATTTGTAATAAAATAACTCTAAATTTTAATAAAAATTACAAGGTAGGTAAAAAATATACATTAGATTGAATTAGACAGTAAAATGAAGTAAAAAATCTGTTGCTCCTATTATTGATGAACAAATATTGTATGATTTACAATAAGGTTTACAAAACGATGATTATAACATTATTTTATTTGCCTATAACAGGGAAGAGTATTTGGCAGTTAGCAAGTGTATTACTTATTAACATTTTAGTGGTTTTCTAACTTATTAATTTTTATTTATTTTTTTTACATTGATTGTGAAATATAGGTATTATATTTTTCTTCAGCATTGAACTCAGCTAAATCATTATATGTCTAAATATAATTTATATCCAT